TCTCTGTCTCCAGCCTGCGGCGCTTGGCGCTTGTAAAAAAAAAAAGTCCACCAGCAAGAAGCGAAACACAGAGAGGCCCAGACGGAGGGCCAACGGGGTCAACGTCTCACTTCCAGACGAGGGGTCTCCCCAATCTTCCAGCGCCGGGTCAAGGCCGGTGGCCCCTCTAAGTCCCCATCAGTGGCCCCGTCTGGCCCGCAGACAGCGATACAATCCATCACTCCCCTGAATGAGGACAGAATCAATCAGGGGGGGACCTTCGGATCACTCTGAACTAAATCACCACGGGCTGTCAGGTGAAAGGCTGCAGAGGGCCCATTCTGTTGAAACAAAGGCGGAGAGAAAGGCATGCCAACAGCTGGTGGAATCTGATGGTGTTTCAACGCTGGATGGCCGCTTATTATTCTTTGCATCCATTTGCGGCAACAACCCTTTAAGCCGGTCCATCAATACCAGTCCATTTGCAAAGGGGGTTATTGACATTGGCGGACCAGCGCAACGCTCTGGTCGTGTCGCATAATGCAACGCTGTGAGGTCACGGGGAGTTAGCTGGCTAAACGCAAGCGAGTCGGCGAGCTCTTCCACCCCCCCCCCCCTCCGCTAATTGATGTACCTCAGCCGCTCGGCCTTTGAACTGAATCCCTGCGTCGTCCACCAGAGAGAAGGCAGATGCCGTCAGCGGTCGGCTCCCCTCTCGCCTTTGAAACCCAAGCCGCCCCGCGGTCTAACCCAGGCAGCTTCGGGGGAACGAGTGAGAGGAGCCGTCTGTTAGCTTAGCTCGGGAGACAGCTACTCCCCCCGCCGCCGCGGAGACCGGCCCCCGCGAGTACGAGGGAGCCCGGGGACGAAAAGATTAGCCGCGTTTGCAAGCGGGAGATGCTATCGCGCCGGCAGCGGTAGCGACGGTCTCGGTCGGGGCCCGAGGAGAAGGAGGGAAGGAGAGAAGGAGGGAAGGCGAGAAGGAGGGAAGGAGGGGAGCCGTTGTTTTTGCAAGACTTGAGCCCTTCAGACACTGGCGCTCCTCCAGTCCTCTAAAGAATCATTCGCCTCTGCGACTGTGCGTGCAGGCCAAGAGTCTAGTTACCGCTAGTTGTTTCTAACACGACATAACATATAAATCCAACACGTCAGTGCTTTTTCCTCGACATGTTTTTAGGTTTGCATGTATGAACAATTGAAATACCGCATGCATGGCACTCCGACAACCCGCCTAATTCCCGACGGGGTTTCAGCTGTGAAATGAATGTTCGGTCTGCCAAAACCCCAAACGCATTATGAGCCCTAAAGTTATGCAGCGGCTCCGAACTTAAACCGATAACTGCCGAGGTTCAGGAAAGTGCAGCAGAACTCACTTCCTGTTTGTGATTTCATGCAGCGGGTTCGACAGAGAAGCCTGAGATGGAAGAGTCAGTCGCACACGGAGTGAACGGCGAGCGAAACCGTCACTTTGCTCATCGTCTCTTCCCGTTAGCGGCACCGCCGATGTCAAAAACATATAAGACGATTCCCTGGGCCGAGGCTCGCATGCGGCGGTACGACATCTGAGGTTATTTCTGGCCGGTAATGAAACGCGCTAATGAGCGGAGTAACGAGAGAGGAGGAATTCCTGCTCATTGTAACCACCTGTTGCCGTCTTTGTTTCTGGCCTCCCATGGCACATGGCTGCGACTTGCAGTTATCTACACTGAACGGCTCCTCCCCCCCGTTCTTAGGGTCAGAAGGTAAGATCTGCCTGGAAGATGTGCAGCTGTCATTTACAAAAAAAAAAAAAAAAACATATGAAAAAAAGATGGAACCAATTACATGTAACTCATCCCAAACGATCTAATCTGGAACTACGTTTAAAATGAACACGACGTTGTTTATTTGCCGTCCATCTGCTGGGTGACAAGCAGGGAGGATAAAGCTGTACAACCCAACCGAGAAAAATACATCTTTTCATTTCTCTCCATTTCCCCAAAAGCTGTTTTTCGCGCTCTTTTCCGGCCTCCTTCTCCAGTCGGAAGACCGGGGGCCCTGAAGGGTCAAAGTGTCGTGACCCCAGGTGAGGCATTGTCATCGGCCCCATGACCAGGGTACTTAACCCCTTATCGGCTAACTCATATCCCAGGTGTGGAGCTGGGTTATATACGGTGTGTCCGTCACGGCCATCAGCATTTCCTGTAAAACCGCCCAATGAGTGCGCAGCGTGTCTCGGGCAGGACGTCCAGTTAAGCCAGTTGTAGGTGGAGGACGGGAGGTGTGTGTGAGGGAGGGAGGGGGGGGGGGGGGCGGTTCATGTTCATTATCAGTTCTGTTTGTGACCCTCCGTGTCAGCGCCGGACCCCAAGCTGTGTTATGAAGCGTGAGAGAGCGAGACGACGCTTAATTCAACCGCACCAGTTTAATAAGGCGGAGCACTGACTGCTGACTGACGAGATAATATAATAGTAATAATTAATAATAATAAGGAAAATGAGTAGAGTTTATGTAACAAATGCTATTTATGGCATGAGCTTTTTCTTTTCCATTATAATACTTAAAATGAATTTGAAAGAAAAAAAAATAAAGAGTTGAGAGGACAAATTACAATCACTTCTCCAAAATAAAAGGGATTCTTTAAATAAAATAAAAGGATGAATGAAGTTAGAATGACTCAGCAGACCACTATGATCTCTAGCTCACTTCTCCCCCAGAACACAATCAACTATTCAAACCCTAAAGGTACCTTTTTATTTACCACTGCAACCCAAAGAAGCGTTCAGATCAGCTCACACCAAAATTGGATTACATGCATCTACGCTTCCTATCGTCCATCCCGGGCTCCCGCCCCCCCTCCCCTGGCCTGAGAGGCCAGCTCCTCCAGCGTGAGCTTCTGCCATGATTCTCCCCGACAGCTGGAGCCTCAACCCCCTCGACAGCGACGGGAATTTAGGGTCCGGCTCAGGATGCGCGGTGGCCCCCCCCGGGGGAGAGGGTGCACAGCAGGGAATCAGCTCCGTTCAGCCCCCAACGAGGGCGCGCTGCATTTAAGCTCGGTGGCCGAGGGCCCCCTCGAAGCCTGAGGCTTTGATTTCATCACATTCACTGGCAACCTGCTCATCTAATATGTTCATCTTCTCTCATTGTCCTTTTGCACATTCTGTCCTGCCGCATTCTCAGGGAGGAAAATAACAGCACGCGGCAACGTTAATTGTGACATGATCTTACATTTTTTTACGTAAAGAGGTGTCACGCGCTGGTAAACACGTGTAACAAAGTGCCGCGGCTAAAAGCAGCTTGTTGAAGTTCCGACCCAATCAGCAGAAATGCAACGGGTCACACGGGCGTAATCAATAACTTGTTCATGCATCTGCATTGCTGGAGGAATAAAAGGCTTCGTTTCCTGCTTCTCGCATGCGGTTAAGTTGCCCATAAAAATGTAGATGATGCTTCAGCAAAAAGATGAATCTGTAAACGTTTAAATGGATGAATGATTAGTGCTCAGTATTCCATGTCCTCGTTAAAAGCATTTTGGAGCATATTTTTTCTATTTACACGTCGAGATGCCGTTAAAAAAAGGATTAGGCAAACGGTTTGGCGAGTGTGGAAGAATAGCTTGACCACAGTGGGCGTCGAGACCCCCCGAGGTGGAAGCCACGGCGTTAATTTGGGCCCTCGGCGCCCGCAGCGTATCGGTCGTTAGCGATGGCGGTTGACAAGGCGAGCGGCCCCTTTGCAGACGGACCGGCGCGTCTGAGGTGTGATCAAGGTAGAGGTTGGGACACCAGAGGGAATGAAGATGGACACTTTGTGCTAGTCGGTAGGTTAGTAGGTTCATACTGACCGACTAAAAATAACCGAAGAATTAAAGTGTGTTGTTTCAAGTGCGTCCACGTTATTAGCGTCTCAGATTTGGCACAAATTTTTGATCTCCAGCAGCGTATTTGCCTCCAGTTTCTTAGGCCTCCGTGACTCCGCGACAACGTGACAGGAGCCCGGCGTGAGGGAGGAGGCGGGGGAGGGACGTAAAAGGGGTAAAAGTAAAACCGCACTGGTACATAAATAGGAATCCCTCACATTCCCGCCTGCGAGCTTTCCGATCGGAGACCTTTCAGGTTGCAGCAGAAATGCCAGCGTCTATATATCACCTCGTTTATCACTTTTATGAATCTCAGATGAATGTGCCACGTTTCTATTTTTAACCCCCCCCGCGCATGTGTTTCACAAAGCTGTTTTGACACTGCACATTCCAATCTATTTATGTTGGGATTTTTCTACACGTTACAGAGTTAGAGAAGGAATTCGCGTGGAAAGTAAATCTGTTTTGGGATTAAAAGTGTGTGTGTAAGTGCGGAACTTTAGTGACTAATATTTCAACTCTGGGGTCAAAATGACGCAAAAAGAGGCGTCACTTAAGTAAAAAGAATACGCACAAAAAAACAGACATTCTGTGTTAAACTATTTTACACAGGTGGCTCTAAATGGGGAATGAGAGCAACATGCATATTTATAAAAGCAGGTAAGGACAATAAACTGCTGCGGGAAAACAAAACTAAACTAAAAAACTAAAACTTTTTAATGACGTTGTGTCACGTGATGGAGCAGAGCGGGTGCGCTGGGAACCGCAGGGTTGGCGGTTTGGTGCCCGGCTGCTCCATGTCCCATGCTGAAGTGTCCCTGAGCAAGACATCACAACCCCTAACTGCTCCCCGGGCGCCTCCATGGCAGCCCGCTGGTCCCACCGTGTGGGACGGGTTAAATGCAGAGAACAATTTCCTGCATGTGTAAAATAACAATTCTTCTTCTTCTTCATTTTCTCAGTGAGTGGAATATTTTGGCCATTTTGGCTGAGCGCAGACATTTGAGGCACCTGTCATGACATTTCCATAAACCTTAACGTATGTGCAAGCGCAATGTCAGTGTGGTTGTAAAGAGCCATTGGAAAAAAAAAAAAAAAAAAAAGCTGCTTTGATGCAGGGTGGCAGCCAAAGCGTTGGGTAGAGTTTCACATTCTATATATAAGCCTGGTGACTTGTGTCCCTGCTGCTCTGTTCAAATGCCAGAGACCCACTGTCAAAACAGAGCGAGAGGGGCGCAACAATATGATGGACCTTTTTGAGACCAACCCTTATCTCTTCAACGATTTGCGCTATTTGGAAGAAGGGGACCATGGACCGCTGCAGCACCTGGACATGTCCGGCGTGTCCCCCCTGTACAACGGCAACGGCAGCCCGCTGTCTCCGGGCCAGGACAACGTCCCGTCCGAGACCGGCGGCGAGAGCAGCGGGGACGAGCACGTGCCGGCGCCGCCGGGTCTCCGCGCGCACTGCGACGGCCAGTGCCTCATGTGGGCCTGCAAGGTCTGCAAGAGGAAGTCGGCGCCCACGGACAGGCGCAAGGCCGCCACGCTCCGGGAGAGGAGGAGGCTGAAGAAGATCAACGAGGCCTTCGAGGTGCTGAAGAGGAAGACCGTGGCCAACCCCAACCAGCGGCTACCCAAGGTGGAGATTTTACGCAGCGCCATCAGCTACATCGAGGGGCTGCAGGACCTGCTGCAGACGCTGGACGAGCAGGAGACGCACGCGCTCAAAGAACACAGCGTGAGATACAATTAAAAAAAAAAAATGCCCGTGCTATTCTCACGAGATGCACCCGGAGTATGTCGGTGGGCGTGTTGCATTCGGAAGGCCTTGTAATGACATCGTGATGACGTCACGATGTGTTTTTTTTATTCCACCTGTATCGTCCCATTTAATATTCCTGCAGGGACTTTTATTAAGCTATTCATGACATTTTTATTCTCTATTTTATTGAATTTTATTCCAATTGGATGTAAATGTTACTTCTGACCTTCCAATTATTTTCATTTTTATTTGGGTTTGTCAAATATATGAGGCGTGTTTTTTAACCTTGTCAATGGCCAATTCCACAAACTACACTTTCTTTCCTGCAACTGCAAGTTTAATATGAACTGACCGAACACACGTCCTGGTAACACGTGTGTTGTAACAGGTGGCTGCTCACGAGTATCACTGGAAAAAGTCCTCTGAGACCTGGCCGACCTCTGCGGACCATTCCACCGCAGCGCTGATGAGCCAGAGAGAAGGTGCGTCCCTCGAGCCGCCCCCCCCCCCCCCACCGCCATCAGTGAACAAATACACACAAAACGACACAAAATGACACAAAGTTGTTTATGTCCTTTTTGTTTTCAGGAACCAGCGAGTCGTCTGGGGCCTCCAGCCTCCTGCGTCTGTCCTCCATCGTGGACAGCATCACCAATGGGGACAAAGTCAATGTCAGCGAGGGCGTTTCAGAAAACTGAAAAACTCACTCCGAGAGCTCGACCCCGATTTTCAAATTTAGAAATTGACATTATTCATCTCTAAATTATTTCCACTCCATTCAGCCGCTGTGGCTTCTGTTTGGTACGTAGCCGTCATTTGTACAGCAGGAGCAACCGATTTGTACATATTTTATGATAAAATTATGTTTAAATTTTATTTATTTTATATTAAACTACGCTTTTTAAAGCTGAGATTGTATTTAAATGTTTGTACATATTTGACCAAGACAATAAATCAGAAGAATAACTGCACAGTTAAAATTGCATGGTGTAAATATTGTGATTTCTCCCGAAATGTATTTTAAAAATCTGCATTTTGAGTGTCTCAGAATGCCGTTGTTTTTATTTCTTAATCATCCCTGATCTCAAAGGACATCGTGCAATGAGGATCTTATGACGTATTATGCAACCATGCAATGTGCTTTCCAGCATTGTTATGATATTGACATTGTTATAATTATGTATTCTTTTTTAATATCTAAATCACAATCAACATGAAAAACCAACGTGTTTCATGTTTAAACTCAGGGACCCTTATTTTTCCTCCTGCAGATAAAAAGCTTCTCTCGCTGTGTCTCTGTTTTCAACACCCAAATATAAAAACCCTACCAGTTCCCGCAGCGTTCACGGCTATTAGAGGTCCATTACGTCTAAACTATCCCCCGGAATGGTTTGCTCTTTGTTCCAGCTGGCCTCCAGCAGGACTGATCCCACAACAGTAACTCGAGTCCCCTCCGAACCCAGCGCGCCTCTCCTCTGTGTCCCGTGTTGCGGGGACACGGATCCAGGGCCGGCCCACCGGGATTAATGTAGTTATCTGAGCCATTAGGTCTTAATTCATCATCACTTGGCTCACGGCCGTATGGAAATCCAGTGAGTCTTGTTTGTCGTGTATTGATGAGAGGTTGGGGGGGGGGGGTTGTTGACGGTGTGATGGTCTCCCTCAGATCTCTGTGGACGACGCAAAGCCCCGGTTGACCTCCGGGACTCGGCCTCATCTCTCAAACCTGCAGACACACACACGCACACAGACACGTGTGTGTGTGTGTGTGTGTGTGTGAGTGTCCCACGTGTGTCAGGTTTATTAGAAGCGTCAATTTAGCATCCAAACGGGGGACAACAGAGCTAATTCCAAGAAGCGGGGGGAGTCGAACCGACGCTGGAGTCCGGAGGTCGGCTCTTTTTCCCGTGTTGTTAGTGTCTAAAACGTGCGTTGAGTGAGTGCTTCCAGATGCTCAACGGAACTATTTCAAAGGACTTTTTTTTTTTTTTAATGCAGCTGTGAATCCTTTAAATGTAATGCGTGTTATTGAGATATGAGAGGAGTGACATCTTTTTGGATACGATGAAAAATAAGAAATAAACAAATATTTGGTTTCAAAAAGTAAAAGCTAAAACTAAATAACAAAAATGTTAGTATTTAAAACAGACAAAAAAAACAACAGCATTAGGAACAGGTCTTTTTTATGTCTCACTTAACATTTATTCGCTTTTAAAAAAATCCCTTTTATGGAAAAATAACATATTATAACAACATTTAAGAGGGAAGTGTTGAAAGTAAAGCAGTAAAGTATCACTAATAATGAAATATAAATTATTATTATAGTCCTTTTACTTTCAATGTTTAGAAGTACAACTTATTGAAAATACTTCCTTATTTTAAGCACAATTTCATAAGCAGGAGTATATTTATGAATACTTTCTCCATCCCTGAGCTGCATCAGCCCTCAGTAATCCCCGCGTGTCCCCTTTTCAACAGAACGATTCATATCTTTTACCAAATATCCAGGATTCTGCAGGAACCAGACAGAAATGTGATACCTCACAACAGTAATGTGCTTTTAATGGGCTCCTGCCCACTCACAGCAGTTTTACTTCACTACATCACGCAGCTCCACGGGTATCTGCTAATTCCACGTCTGCTCGCTAATGACTGCGTTTGACCTGGATTGCAGAGCCAACATCAACAATCGCAGTTTGCGCTCGTAAAATAAGTGTTTGGTTCATCTCGGCTGCTCGACGCTGTCTCCGGGTTAAACATCTTTTTGACGTGCACGCGCATAAACTGGCATTCTGAGCTATTAAAGGCCCGTGTTTGCTGTGGAAGCGCCGCGTCCAGCTGTTTTTCCATCAGACAAAGAGAGAGCTCTCTCCCTTCTAGCTTTACAGGGGTTTGGGTGTTACTCATGACACCGTATAATTGTCATTTGGCAGAGAAAGCAGTGTTTTAAAAGTCGAAGCTGATGAAAGGCGAGCAGCTACAGGACGGGGGGGGGGGGGGGGGGCTCAGAGGCTGAATGCTTTGATTTATTCAGACTCTCCAGGAAGGAAAGGGATTCACTGGCAGCACACTTCTCTCTGCCAAACAAATGCTGTTGCCACTCAAAGTTTTTTTTTGTTTCACTATAGTTATTCCTGTGGGGGAAGTAACATGTACTTTATGTGTGTGTGTGGGTGGGGGGGAAATACCCTTTTTTTTAAAACACTGAGCTTTTTTGTGTCTTAAGTTTTTATTCACGGTTCTTTTTTTTTTTAAACCTCTGAATTTAATTTGTAAAATACACATTCCATATTCTTATACTCTTTTAATGTTTTTTTTATCATATCAGAAATTATTGTTTTTTTATTTGTGTTTATTCAAGTCAAATCACACGTGCAAACTAATACATTCTGTATTAATATGTATGAAAATTAAAAAACACTGTAACAGGAATTTCTTGTTCTTTATTATCTAATTGGATTTTAAAACAAGAGAAAACAGTCAATAATACTAATGCGATTAACTTTTATTTCGCCAGAAGGAAGCTTTATTCTAAGTGGCAAATTGCCCCTCTCTCTCTCTCTCTCTCTCTCTCTCTCTCTCTCTCTCTCTCTCTCTCTCTCTCTCTCTCTCCGGGGGGCGCGCGGCACTTTGGAAGAAATAAGGTCTTCCGCCGTGAGGGAGATGGACATAAAGGGTCACCTCCTGCCCTTCACTTAACTCTGTCTCTGACCCTTGAGAACAACAAGAGAGCAAACTCAAGAGTTCCCAGGGGAGCGGATCCTGCACCAATAACCCCCCCGGTCCCCCTCCCTGCCCCCCCCCCCCCCCCCGTCCCACCATGTGCTGCGCCGATCCGGCCTCCATCGGCTCTCGGGCGGCCGATAGCAGGTTTTCTCATTGGCGACGTTGTTTCTCGAGGCTTCCGCGGCCTTTGATGTTCCCAGCGGCCACTGCGCGCGGGTCGATGTCTTCTTCAGCTGTCCATCCCGACTGCCCCCCCCCACATCCCCCCATCCCAACTGTCCCTCCACCACCCCAACTGCGCGCTCCCGCTCCGAGGCAGCGGGCGCGCGCTGTTTTCTTAGGTGCGCGCGGTTCCCAGAGAAAAAAGGGCCGACTCGACAAACGTTCGGACACATTGTGAGAAATATCCGCATTGTATCCCTGTAAGCTGTCAACAACACAATGACCTAAACAAGTTCGGGGTCGAGAGCTGCTAAAAGCGACCCCCCCCCCCCCCCCCCCATCCTGCTCCCCCTTCCCCAATCCTACAAATAGAGACACAATTAAACTGGTCGCCATCTTTTGGCAAACAGCTTGAAGCAAAGCAGCACGAAGAAGAACCAAATGTTTAATGTGCACTGCTTTAAAATAACAAAAAAGTTTATTTAAATGAAAGAAAAAAAACACAAACTACACAATGTGGCATTCCTGCAGCACAGCGGCCATCTGTTGTGCGCCCGAAAAAAAAGTACTCGACTTGTGTCAATAACTTTTAACGGTTCAAATTTGGTCCTCGGGAGCAAAATGGCGCAGCGAGTTGAGCCGCGGTGTCAGTTGTGTGATTGCTGTTCTTCAATGAGGCAAACGGGGAGGATCCCCTCACTCACGGCACCTTCGGTGATGAGCTTTGGGGTGTTTTAGAGGGGGGGGGGCGGCTTACCACTGCGACGTGACTTCACAGGGCTTGAAATGTTACACCTCGCCTTGCAGCTGGGCCGCATCTGCAACGCTGTTGTCCAGGCCGTAAAAAAAATTGCCGCGCGTGCCCCCCCCCTCTCCTCCCCCCCGCCATCTTCTCCCACAACAAAAACACGCGCGCTCACAAACGTGCGTCTTCGTGGCGGCGTGCGACTCTCTTCGAGTCTTCGCCTGCGACTGGATGTTTGGAAGCGGGCGAATCTGCAAATGTTCGCCCCCCCGAGCATTGTGTTCTCCGTGGCCTTGCAAGGAGAAAGCGCGGGGATGAGTGGGAAAACACCAGTAAGTGCGATGTGGGAACTCTGCAGGGTACTGGGAAGTGTGAAGGGGTTGGGGGGTGAGGGTGGGGGGGTGAGGGACAGCGGGTTGGGGATGGGGCAGGGAGGGAGCTGAGCTAACCCCAGCCTGCCTTCTGGCTGGGCCAATGGGCCATGGTAATTAGATCTGGCCAATGTGGGCCCTGGGCTCTGGCCTGGGGGCATATAAGGGGGGCTCGGGGGCAACAGACCCCTCACATCACTCAGAGGTCTCCTCTGTCTCTCGTCCCCACTCCTCCTTCCCTCCCCGGCGCCCATCTTTCCCATCCATCCAGACTTCTCTCCTCGGCGGACAATGGACGTCTTCTCGCCGTCGCAGGTGTACTACGACGCGTGCGCCTCCTCCCCGGACAGCCTGGAGTTCGGCCCCGGCGCGGAGCTCGACGGCTCCGAGGAGGACGAGCACGTGAGGCTGCCCGGGGCCCCCCACCAGCCGGGCCACTGCCTCCAGTGGGCCTGCAAGGCCTGCAAGCGCAAGTCCAACTTTGTGGACCGCAGGCGTGCCGCCACCATGCGCGAGCGCCGGCGGCTGAAGAAGGTCAACCACGCCTTCGAGGCTCTGAGGCGCTGCACCTCGGCCAACCCCAGCCAGCGGCTGCCCAAGGTGGAGATCCTGCGCAACGCCATCCACTACATCGAGAGCCTGCAGGACCTGCTGCGCGAGCAGGTGGAGAACTACTACGGCCTTCCCGGAGAGAGCGGCTCGGAGCCCGGGAGCCCGCTGTCCAGCTGCTCCGACGGCATGGTAAGACACCCCCCCCCCTCCCACGGTCCACATGTGCAGACATCTGGCTGTGCAGAGATTTAAAAAAAAATGAAAAAGTCAGGGAGTGAAGTGACTTTGTGCAGGACAGCTAAATCTCGCAGCGGCTTTTCCCCCGAAAAGGCCGTTTTATCGATGAACGAAGTATCTTGAATTTAAGCCGCGGTGGCATTTTTCATTTCAATGCTCCAAATAGAGCCTGGATTTCTAAAGTAGAAGCTTGTTTTTTCCCCTAATGACCTTAATTACAATGCCTCTCCATGCATGTCATACTGTAAACTCTGTAGTGGTCTGTGTGTGTGTGTGTGTGATGAGTGTAGTTTAAGGTCAGGCTGAATTAGTTTGGAGGTGAACGTATCGTGCTGGATGGAGTAATGTCTTTCCCACCACCGGACACTTTATAGCCCCAATAAACTCAGCTAAATCCACCTCACTGAAGTCTGGCAGCAAAAAAAAAAAAAAAAAAAACCTGGGCGCTTTTCTGCATTCCATCCTGACTGCATGTTCTGCACCGCTGCCAGAGGATTTTCTGCAGATTTACAAGGAGAAAGTGTCATCTTGCACAAACCGGTGTTGCTTCCACTGATGCAATCGATTGGGCACGCTCAAGAGTCCCGCCGGGCGAAGGCAGCGCATTCTGCCACTTTGGCTTTAAGGTGGAAGTGAAATAAAGAAGACCATAACTTTGGAATTCAGGATTTATTGGCCTGTCCAGAATATAGCAAAGGCCATCGCTTGTTTTTGCATTTTTTTCTTCCTATCCGGCGTAAATATATGCATTTACACCGTGGCAACCATAACACATTTCTCTATTTCTGCAAGAATCCGAGGGTAAATTTCATTTCCCGCTTCCTTGCAGGTCGACAGCAACAGTCCAGTGTGGCAGCATCTGAATGCAAACTACATCAACAGCTATTCGTGCGGCAGGAACGGTGAGGCCTTCTGCCGCGAATAAGAACACGCGTCCGCGTCGGCCGAGCGCTTTGAAAACACAATAGCTGCCGTTTTAAATCCTCCGGGAGTCCTGTATTCTAAAGGTCAATGAATCTCCTCTGCTCTCTCATCAGAGGGCTCGGGCGACAAGGCCGCCGGAGCCTCCAGCCTGGAGTGCCTCTCCAGCATCGTGGACCGCCTGACCTCGGCGGGGGCCGGCTGCGGCCCGCCGGCCCCGAGGGACACGGCCACCTTCTCCCCGGGCAGCTCCGACTCGCAGCCCCGCACGCCGGAGAGCCCCGGGTCCGGGCCCGTCTACCACGTCCTGTGAGGGGGGCGCTTTGGGGAGGCGGGGAAGGAAGGGGGTGGAGGGGGGGGGGGCCTCGGCTGCATCCGAGGACCAGCTTTTATATTGTACATGAGATTGTAAATAATGTAAATGCCCATTTATTCTATACATGCTATTATACCCAATGAGACATATTTAATTACGACGTTGCATTACTCCAACAGGAAGTGGTATTTAAGCAGTTTTCTTTCTTTCGATGCTGTCATGAACATTAAATCTTTCTCTGTTTTGTATGAATGTTTGAGCTTTTTGTTTTTTTCACCCTCTTCTGTTGTTCTGTGACCATTGTGACCACACATTTATCACCGGGTTAAAGCAGGATGTGTGACGAGATGAAATATGGTACATTCAGAGTTCTCGCTTCTAATTAATGTGAAAGAAACTTCAGCGAAAACTGAATATTATTTCACACTTTTTGTATTCTTTTCTGTAAAACTGAAGCAACACTCACAGAGTTGTTTCCATCTTTAGAGCGATGATCAGTCGTTCGTTTAGTGCGCCATCGTCTCTTTTTATTAAGGCCGAATTATTCATTAATATTGCAGATTCTTGTGCTTTTACATGCTGATGAATATCCAGTCCAGAAAGGGCCTTTTTAACTAAATAAAATTTATTCATCACGTGACAGACGGTCTGCAGCTAACAAGGTGTGGAGATCACATTAGGAACTGATGGAGGTCAGCTGATAACATTAATCATTGGACGCCGTTGACACCACTCATGCCTTTGAGTAAAAGAGCAGTTTATCCCTTTAAATTATGCTTTTTCTGTATTATAGCAGAGGTTTGAACCTGTTAACTAGAAATCAGAGTTCTGGTATTTAAACCACACTCTTTGTACTGTGTGCAGTTGGGCTGCAGCACTTTGTACCTGTTTGTCCTTTCCTTCCACATGTGAGGCATCATTAACACCTTTGATTACACCGTCGACACCAGAGCCGAGCACAGATGGCCCCTCATTGTACTTGAGGGGGGGGGGGGGGGGGGACCAAGGTGAACTTTAAATAAACTTATATAGAGGCAATACTTTTGTTAAATCCATGCGTTCTTATTGTTCTCCTTATATCCTCTACTTTCTGTCTCTACTGAATGCATTTAAAGTACTGCAAGTGTTGGTAGAAGCAACAATATTAAAATACCCCTTTACAAGCTACGGTCGGTAGTATTTTGAGGTAGTTGCTGGTGGAGGTGGAAATCATTTGAAACATTTTATTTACTGTTTGAATCTTTACCAGTGCATCTAATTCACAAAGCTCACAATCAATTTAATGCAAAAAGTCACGCCGTTGTTATTCAGATGTAGTGGAAACGTTTAACACACTGGAAAGACTCTTCACTACACGTGATTAGAGGAGGGCGGAGTCACGTGACGGCTCAGTCCCCGCTGTAGTACTCAGACGGACCACAGGGGGGAGGCGTTTCTTCTGTTATTAAAGTTATTAAAAGCACAGGGAAACATGTCAACTTTCCAAACCACAAGTGATTTGATTTGTGAACTTAATTCAAGTCGTCGCTCGTTTTAGAAAAATACTCGTCTTATGGCGAATGTCTCCTGCGATGGTGTCACACTCGGAGCTCCACTGAACCCTCAATGAAGGACGGCGTGAAGGAAGGCTCGACGCGGCGCTCACTGTACACAAGCACGTAGATTTATTTATACAAATATAGTATGTATAACAATTGCATATCAACAGTTTAGTTGTGTTTTTCTTCTTTTAATCTTTACGGTAAGTACATGACCATCAGCTTCAAAAATGTAAGTCAATTAAGAAAGAGTACCTGTGACGTGGAGATACAAAAAGGGATCCGCCTGGCGAGATGTTCTTCTAGAGGAGTGAGTGAATGTCTACAGCTTTTCACCGACCGCAGGGAGACAGAACAGGTAAACGAAGGAGGCAAAAGGAAAACAGGAAAAACCTAAGAGTCGGTATCGGAAGCTTAGTGCGAAACAAAGGAATAAACCCGAAGAAGAAGCTCTTAGCACCACAGAAACACCCTCCCTCAGGTACAACGATTGTCCCAAACAGAAACCAGGGTGGAACTACGTGCTCGTATTCAGCTGTCACACAAGGAATAGATTTTAAATAATCATCTGCACGTCTCAGAAAGAAAACGTAACACTCAGAAGGAACAATAAAGCCTTTTTTGTTAAATCTCTGATCTCATATTTTGATTTAAATCCCACCCGCGACTGAAAACATTCTGTTTGTCTGTCGGAAACAGGACGACGCATCCGAGGGTTGATTTGAACCTCCAAAGACAACCTCGCGGTGAGACATATTCTCCAGATACGTCTCAGTGGGGAGTAGTTGTTGCACATCGATAATCAGTGCCACGCGTTGAACGAATAAACTCTTCACATGGCACAAACTACAGAGCTGCCTTACGCTATTTAAGGCCCAGTTTGCTCTGCAAAGCGTCACCGGTGCACAGACTGTACACGTGCACACAAGAACATCGGGAATTTAGCGGCGAGGTGTGAAAGCAGGAGATTGCGTTTTTATTGCTAAACCTACAAGATACAAAATCGTTCCTGCTACAATATAGAAGGTAGAAAAGAGAGTCACGTTTGTCCAAAACAGAACCAGTTTGACACAAAAAGATAAAAAGAAACACGAGCGCCGGTTGGGGAATCGACAGGAACACCCACTGTACAAAAGGTGCCGCGGTGTGACGGGCGAAAAAAAACGAAACACGACACACACAGGAAACGGCGACTCACAACCGGGAGGAGAACAGAAAGGGGAATGCGAAGTTAAAGTGGACGACTTTCGGAGCTTCCCCCCCCCCAGCGGTCTCGGGTGGACGGGCCTCTTTGCTCAGTGATAGGTGGTGCACTGGAAGAGAGAGAGAGTAAGTCAAAGGGTCTTCTACTCGTTGGTTTCCTCCTCGGCGGGAAGAGTTTTCCGCTTTCGGGATCCTCGGCGCGAACGGATGGTCTTCAGGGATCCACTTTTTCCTTCACTTCTTCTTCTTCTGGAACAACCTGCAGGGCGTTGCAGAGGAGAGACCAGCTGAGAGCGATGCTTGCAGGCTGTCGCGCCAAGAGCAGTGTGGACAAATAACTGTGGCCTGCATGAAGTCAGAATGTTATGCTTTTTGTCGACAATCTACTGGTTAAAATGTGTGTTTTCTTGCTCATTTAAGGTCGCATGCACGTGTCGTTTCCTTCCTTCAATCTCATATTTAATGCTACTTTTATGAAAGAATACATCCACTCTAGTTGCTGCTAGTTGTGTGATGCCAGAGGACAGATTGTGCGCGACACTTCTCGAATTTGATCTAAATTTGGATGGTAATCGTTTTGTCTAAAGCAGACGTATGTGGAGCCGCCGTTCCAGCTGGAGCCTCCAAGCGCCGCAGCCGGCTGCATCAATTACAGCCTGCACAACAGAGGCACTGGGGTTTGAAATAACCGGCGAAATGTACCGCCAGTAAATGATAAAACGTGAGTTTCCTGGGGAGATTTAAAATGTGCTGGTCACCTTGAAGCGGGAGCAGCTGAGAGGTCTGAGCGTGAGACGGCGCACGTGCTCATGAGGAAAATGATAAAAGGCGACGGTGTGGCTGAATATCTAAACGTGCGGCGTCGCCTCCTCGAAAGAGCGTTCAAAACTGTGCCGACCTTGAGGGGGCCAACGTCCAGTCCTGTCCAAAATAAAGCAATAAGCAACAAGAGACGGCTACGAACCCGTTGTCACGTGCTCTTAATTGTGTTTAAATAAAATCCCTGTGAAAGATTCACCATATGAAATAAAATACTGCATTTAATACTGTTGCATACACTACCGCTTGGGTCCACAGGGGGCGCCAAAACCGCCACAAAACAAACGTTTCTGTTAGCAGCTTTTGATGCTGCTTCCAATGCTTCCCATCCTATTAAAACTTGGGATTGGCCATTCATCCTGTCTTCACCCCCCCCCCCCCCCCTCTCGCTCTCCCCACTCCCCACCGTAAAGCAATGAAGCGCCTCACCTACGACATGTGGTTCTGCTGAGAGGCCACGTTCTGCAGCTGCTGCTGCTGCATGAGGATCTGCTGCTGCTGGCGCCGCCGGGCCGTACGCAGCTTCTCGAAGCGGGCCTCCATCTCCTCCAGCACTTTGGGGGTGTAGCGCACCACCAGCTTCACGCTGTCCTTGGCCGCCTTCAGCAGCTCCACCGCTTTCTCGTGGTGCTCGCCCTCCACACTCTGCAGGGGATTTTGGAGATGGAGAGAAGGGGAAGTGTCGTATTTTTTTTTTCTTGTAGTCACGGTTGCATATTTGCATAAGGGCGGTCGGACTCACCACACCGTTGACGGACAGGAGCTGGTCCCCTCGCTTCAGGCCGCCGTGCCTCTCGGCCACGCCGCCGGGGATGATGCGGGAGATGTAGATGGGGGAGTTCTGCTCCTTGCCGCCCATCACGTTGAAGCCCAGCCCTTCCTCCGTCTTGGGCAGCTCCACCACTCTCGGGTGGGAGTGACCTTCGCTGGCCGCGAAGGCCGCGACCGTTGCCTGAAGGAAGAGAGACGCAGCTTTGGACTTCTCGCTACTAATTGGACAGAGTTGGACAAACCATGGAACCAAACCTTTTTCCCCCAGAAGTAGGACAAAAGTCTTTCTGGAGAAAAATGAACCTCAGATTGATTCCGGCAGTGAACAAGTGAAAGAATATAGAACATTTATCAGACAGGCCATTAGAAAGTGTGCCCCCCCCACCCTTCGGTATAAACGCAGTTCCAAAAGGTCAGAATGAACTCCGAAGCTGAAATACATTTATCATCTGTGGAAAAGCAAGAAGGGACCTTTAAAGAAAAACAAAAGCCTTTCTTTCCATCCACCAGCTTCCCCTGACCCTCCGCGCCCCCCCCGACCCCCACCGCCTCGTCCCAGTGTGGAGCTGGAAGGCCCCTCGGCATGCACAGCGTCTCCTCGCCGGGGCCCCTCGCAGCACGCCGACCTTCACAAGTTGGATGCTTTCCCCTTAACAACCGAGTGTTAAGTGTGACTTCAGGCATCCTCCTGGTCTCCATGGCGATCAGTAACAAGGGAATTAGAGGCCGAATTGATTCACTTAACGGAGCAATCAGAGGGAATCGAGTAGTTCAGGTGAAACACGATGCGATCTGCCGGGAGATTCACCATCTGACTGTCCTAAGTGCTCGAGAGGGAGATGAGCTTATGTGCTTTTCCCCCTTTTAGATCACGCGTGTGATACTGAGCACAATTATGTTTCCCTTTTACAAAAGAGAGTGAAAGAACTTTAAAAAAAACTTCCATTGCTCCCATGAAGCCAGCTCAGGCTATTGGCCGTGTGCTTTATTGCCCGGCGGACGTGCAATTTTAATAGAGATTACGGAGCAGTAACTTCTCAAAGTTTAAGGCAAAGAGAGAGAAAAGTAGGCCGGAGTTTAAAGCTGCTTAAATCGTGTCATTACGGTGCCTTCAGGCAAAGAAAAAAAACACAGGAACTTTTTTTTGCTTCATCATTGCAGTTCCTTTGCCGAGTGAAATGACTCTTCTCACCAATATATTCATTTTTCCATCAAAAAGTGCCCGTGGTCATAGGTTTACTTTCCTTTTTAATGTTTGTGCACGTGGGAAACACACGACTCTGTTTGGCTGTGAATCTTCGGATTTTGCAGGTTTAAAATGGGTCTTCGTCGGCTTCCTCCACTCAGAAGAAGAAGAAGACGACGTCGACCTCTAGTGGTCCTACGGTACTCGTGACGACCGGCGCAACGGAGGAAGTCGGGTCACGTGATACGAACAGAGGCAAAGTCAAAGTGGAGTGAAGGTCGGGGGCGAAACAAACACGACTTTCACCCAGTAAATCGCTATTATTTTATCTACCTGACTGGTGTGTCAACCCGAACCATTAAGCGTCCTCAGTGGTAGTTCAGTGGCATTAATCTAAAGTTTCAATTCGCGACGTCGCCCCTCTTTGTTTAAAAAAAAAAATGTCGAGTTGAAGCAGCGAGGACACAAAAAAGTGAGGAGCCTTAAATGAGCAAACAGATTAGACTTGTTTGTTGAATGACACCAAAATAAATACATGTTTCGTCCCGGTTACGTCATCAGCACCTGGAAATCAAGCAGCTGCTCATCCGACGTTTCCAGGTCGAGCCCCTCGCGGATTCAAAGAAAGGTTTTGAGCTCAAAGACGTTCAGCAAGTGTCGGATTTGTGAAACGGGGATGAAGAGTCGCTCAGAAAAGGCTGTTATTTTGAAATATGCTGTCGGCTTTTCTTTTGGGGGAAAGAAACGTTTGCTTTTAAAGCCAGTTGGTTTGTTCCCGAAAAAAAATCCCCAAAACCGAACAACAAACTTTATGTGACCTAATAAATGCGTGCAGCCTAAGAAACTAAGAAACAGGACAAAAGACGTATTATTGTGGGATTTCAGAGACACTAAAGAGCTGTTTTTTTCCCTCAGTTGAGCAAGAAGAAACCCGCAGATGAATCTCTATTCGGTTACTTTCTATTTTATTTTTGGGGTTAATGTTAATGGCTTGCTGCTTAATTAGGCGCCATTAGCTGAGGAGGACACACTTTGCTCCGTTCATTCTGCTGCGGACACGATGGGAACGATGCCGCCCGGCTGATGGGATTGGGTCACGCTCGGCGTTTTTATTCCAAAGCGACGAAGCTGCAGAGCGGCTCCTCCTTACCTTCGCCGTGGCCCTCGCCTGGTACTCCGGGCAGCCGTTCACGGTGATGGTTTCGTGCATGTACTGGTACACCTGAAGGGAACGAAGAGACACTGCTGTTATAATTGTATGGTTAAAAAATGAAATCCTCGGGCCGGGTAACGGAGACACGGGTTTGTGTAAGTCACGGCGGGTGTAAAACGTGACGTGAAAACGAGGTTTTCTGAGGCAGACGGAATCAATGCACACAGCTGACCTTTCCAGTCGAGACGTTTAAAGAAACCGTAGAGCCGGAGGAAGACGGGGACTGAATGAGGACGCGTATTTAATATACTGCAGCACAAAAGAGGAACTTCTGAATGACATCAAACCAGTCAGCGCAGCTTAAGAACAGTTTGTTCCCTCAAATGAAGATGAAGGTGAATTAGATATTTGGGCTGATTACAAAAAGTAAGTAAACTACGGATTTCAGTATTTATCGTTTTTACACTGATTGCAGTTTTGGGTTCTTATCAGAATCACGACTTCTCAGTGCAAAAACTTCATGACTTTCAACGTTGTGGCTCAGGAATGAATTTGAATGACGTGACTCATCAAAGCGCGTCCGACGCACGACTCTCCAAACGAACTCGCTGCTCTGAACCATCACAGGGAAATACAGGATACGAGCCCTGACATATTTATATGCAAAAATGTCAGTAATGTGGGAAAAATAAACTACCCCTGAGCTTCTGTTGTCTTGTTTGCTCATGAATCTCAAAGACCGGCTGAGAGCGCCGCCGCCGCCGCGTTCCCGCCTGACAAGCAGATCTACGCCGCTGATGCGTTCAGACCCACAAACACACTCAGCTCCCAAACGGTACCTTCACCCGAGGACGTCTGCACATTTTCAGGCTGAGCACAGTGTTGGAAACGCCCAGGAAGGCTTTCCTCGCCTCCGACCGCCACGCTGAGTGGCTTTTTTAAACACGACTGCTAATTGCAGTTCTTCGTTCTGCCTGCAAATGACGTCATTCTTATCACTGCCTGCAGTCTACACGGTGAAGTACTGCCTTTCAAGGCCTTTCAAGGCCTAAAAAAAGAGTGCGAGCGATGCCACACGATGAGGAGTTAACGCACGCACACACACACATGCATCAGTGGTGCTCTGAAGGAGGCCGCACAAGACAAGCATCTGACGTCCGTCAATGCGTCCGTCCTCAATGCTGAGCCCTGAATAACACAACTAACGTCCGCCTGCCTCTCGTTGTGGCTGCACTTTGCTCTGAAGAACCCGTTTGCCCCGCGGGCGTCTTTTCAATTTACCCTCCTGCCCCCCCCCACCCCCTCCTCCTCGGCTGACGTCTTCGCCGCCCCGGCCCTGCGGCGGTTACACCGTCAGCCCCACCCTCCTCCTGCATGCTTTTCCCGATGATGAGAGAGCAGAGGAGGAGGCCGCAAGCCGGCATGACAACGCTGCTTTTAACCGCAGCTTCCTGCTTCCCCTCCCGAGGAAGGATCCTCCACCCTAGTTTGCTGATGGAGGATGCTTTCGCTCTTTCAACCTTCATCCTTTTCCAGCTGGTTAGCTCTTCCCCGCCGCGCCGCGTCCTTCCTCCCCCGTTTGCAAGGCTGATTGAGCCCGACAACTCGCTCAGTCGTCGATGAACGCGGCGGGGAAAGACGAGCCAGCTCGTCAAACTCTGTCTCTTTGTCATTTAGCTGCTGGACGGACTCGTCTCCCAGCTGTTTGTTGCTCGTATCGACAGCTGGCCCGTCGTCCTTAAGGGGGCTGATTCCTGCTGTATTCTACTGGTGCAGGCGTACAGTATGTGGGCGATGCGGTTGGGAGGGGGGGGAGTAGCTCGACGGTCCCTTCAGGCTGTGCATCGGCCCTGCAGACCGTCACATGAGGACGGAGTGGAGTGTTTTGAATATGTTTTTGTTTGTGGATGCGTGAGTTTATTATTTTCACCTTCCAGGCTGCTGATTTATTCATCTTTGTGTTATTATGATGTGAAAGTCAAATTTCAGTACGTCAAAGTTTCTTTCTCGTTTTGCCGCTGTTGTTTTGGCTGAAAGTGCCGACTGATTTCTTCCAGGGAAAAAATAAAAATCTAACCAAGAAGAAAGAAACACGTTAGTGCTGAAAATGACACTTTTTGTCCAGTCAGAGAAATGAAAGTCATCCTCTTTGGTCCCCGAGACGGATCAACTGTGCAACCCAGCTGCCGCGGGGAGGAAGCAGCTCTGCTGGTTTCCCCCGGCGACCGCGTTCGGCCGGCTCCTTCTGGGCGGAGTGGTCGGCGTCCCTGCCTCTTGGCGGAGGTCGTGCGCTGCTGCTGCTGCTGCTGCTGCTGCTGCTGCTGCTGCTGCTGCTGTTGCTAAGGCGCTTAGCAGAAGGTCTTTTGAGAGTCATGCGTTGGCAGGCGTGCCGCTGGTCTCCGGGTTTCCCCCCCGAGAGGGACGAAGCGGATCTGGACACCGCGAGACGAGAGGTGCGTTTATTCCTCTCCGTCCCTTTGTATGATGTCGGGTTTTTTTTTTTTTCTGTCAGAAGCAATTCAATTGTTGTCATCGCCGGGGGTCATTATCTTTTCATTATGAGCTACCAGCTGTAAACAAAGCTTCTAATGAGTTTATATGAGAAACACAGTGAAATGACTTAACTTTGTGGCAGTGTTGAGGTGCATTGATCCTCTTTTGGGTTTTGAAGTGATGAACAGAGAGCTGACTTTCAGTTCCTGGTTGTTGGTACAAATGAACACTCTTACTACTGTTAACGTTATTTTGGGCTGTGACGCAGTGCAATCTCAATCCAAATGCCACTTCACAGCATTGTCTGATTGTCTGCTTTCATTCCGGGACAAATTCCGTGTTCACATTGTTTGCGTTTGACGCCGTCATCCGTCATCCGTCTCTCTGTTGATGTTTGCTTAACTAACACACGGCTCCGGGTGATGCTGCAGTACATCAAAACAGACACGACGCTGAATATACAAGATGAATTGTGCAAAAACTTGATGGATTAATTTGTGGCCGTCAGCGTTAATGAAGAGCAAGAGCAGAAAAAACGGCGGTTTATGTTTGACATTATATTCTTACCTGCAAAATGTGATTAATCTTCAATCTGAGCAGTTTGAACCTTCGAGTTAATGTGATGCCGCTAATGTTTTATGGCCTCTTGATTATACAAATGTTCCGTTTAAATCTTTAACGCCGTTAAAATGTCCCCGTCGCTGTTCAGCTTGCGCCTTAATAAAACAGAGCATTTTCATTACGCTGCGTTCATTTGTGATTGATGTGACTTGAAGTCACACTCTCAGATTTATTTGTTTTACAGCTCATTTCCCCGCTCGGTATCGAAGCATCACTTTTCAGCACATTTTAGCACCAGTTTTCTGCACAATGAATTCAATGAGAGAGATATATATCTTTCACTTAACATCATTTTTCAAAGTCATGGAAAAATTATATTAACAGCTTCAGCCGCCGGTTGAAAAATGTGATGCTTCTTAACAATACATTTGCCATTCAATAGCCATTCAAAGTCCCTAAAGTGCTGTAAATATGACCATAAATATAAAACCAACATCCCAAAACGCCTGCAGACAACTTTCTTCGTGGCAAAAGAGATTCTGCAGGAGTCAGCGTGCACAGCTCAAATAACCGCCCGATGACCAGAGGGCCTCTCCACAGAAACCATCACCAAAACCAGTAAACAACCACCTCGTCGAAAGCAACTCCGAGGACAAAACATCGCGCCACAGCGAGCACACGAGAGCAACGAGGAGCGTGGGCACGAGAAAGGTCAAAGAAGAGAAAAACCAGTGAGAAGGGGTGAGTCATGTCGGTGTGACTCACCTCTCGGATGGCCGTGCAGAACTCGCTCTGCAGGACCTTCTTCAGAGACTGCAGCTTGTGACCGGGCACGCCACCCGACTCCTGCAGCTTCTCCAGCAGCTCGATGGCCCTGGCAACATCTGGCAGAGAGAGAGAGGGAGGAGCGGAGGGGGGAGAGAACGGGTGTGAGCTTGGCACTCGACCCAAAACGGCCCAGAAAGTGATGGGTGATGGAAATGGATTGAGTCAAGGCCAGCTGGGGGCGAGGACCAGAGAAAAGCATCCGTGGATCCTTTGCGTTGGCTTAGCTTACGAGAACGAGTAAGCGAGGGAATAACTCCCCCGTCCAAAAGTAACATTTAAAGAATTACGACGCATTTGCACTGTACTTAAGCCCCGGGGTGCGAAGCCGCGACTCGGGGGGTCTACTCGGGCTCAATGAGTCTGCCAGTCGGGCTGATTCATTTCCTTCCCGGTGGGACCGGCGGACCGAACGGAGATACATAACCGGGGGAGAGGGGAGGACATCTGGTACTCAATCACTGGATCGCTGGCGTTCGATATCTACGCTTTATTCATTCTGTGTGGCCACACATCGAGAGATTAGTGGTTCGAGCGGTTTTGGCGTTGGAGCTGTTGATTTACACCCGCTGCGATCTTCACTCTCCTGCCCCCCCAGGAAGTGGTCTCCAGCTCTGACTGTGTGAAACCTCCACAAGGTCACAAAGAGGAAATGTGCAGCGGGGAAAATCCATTTCCTGGATCTATGGACTTTTTCTGTGAGGATTTAGCTAATAATGCCAAAGCTATTTGCACAACTAAACAAACCATATATAATTCTTCTTTAGGGGTTCAGGGAGCCACCAGGCAAACTCGGGCTATTCATATTCTATTACTCATGAAATATAAATCGGAATAGTAAATTCATCGTTTTGGGATTCAAAGAGCTGTCAGTGTGTGCTAAGTGTGCCATATTTATATTTTGCATACAGTTTTCTCCCTCTACGCCGAATACCGGACAGCACAGCTCCCACGGAGCGCTCGTAATGAGCTGGTGCACTTCCAGGAAGCGAGGGCATCCGTCTCTGTGGTTCATGACCATTTCTTTTCTCATTAAACGGAGGTCATGGGCGATCTGGGGCGATCTGGGGAAAGAGTTTTTCCTCCTCCTCTGAGCCTTTATTGGCGTTCGCGTGCTCATTAGCACCATTTTCTTTATCCACATCAAGGACTTTCTGGAGGCGTTGGGAATGTGACTTCAAAGATTGACTCTGCAGACATTTCTGCAGCGCTTTCATCTGGCTGATCAAAAGTGATGCCTCGTCATTTCCTGATATAATCTCTCTAACTTGAATTTGGGTCATTTTAAAGTTCCATCAGCCTCAGACGGACGAGCTTCTCATCACTAGACGTTGTGACGTATGTGTATATGTCATGTCCCTACAGCGACGTGAGAAAACGTGCAAACAGATCTGTTGCCCGGGGCGGTCGCAGCTATACGTCACGACAACGACGCTGCCGCAGCACCTTCTGCAGGGTGAACGGACCTCGCCGGGTGTCACACACACAGAACAGACGAAGACCAGTCAAAGATAACACTGAGTATGTGCTCGACACCCACACGCCGCGCCTGTTATATGCACACGCTATGAATAACTTCGGCCTGGAGGCTCACACGGAATGGAATCCCATCCGTGACCAACAGCGAACACGCATGAACACCCCCGGCTGAGCGGTGATACGATGACTATTGACTTTAGCAGCACTTTGATTCAGATGCTTTCATATTATAGATATGCTTGTGCTTCTACTCCCACATCTCAGAGGCAAACAGGGTAATAAATAACACATAAGTGACTCAATTGTTTTAACTTCCAGTTAAGGGAAACACACACAAAAAAAAAAGAAGTAAAATATGATAAAAACGTGACGTTTTTGCAACTTTAAACCTTAGCTGAGTGCAAAGTTTAAAGTAGCAAGTAAGTAAGACACAGGCGCCTGGTTTGGTTCTTAATGCAGTCATTTATATACACGCTTCAGTATACGTTCACACCAGCTTCCTCCCCCTCATCACACATGCCAGCTCTCTTTGCTGCAATAACGCGCCCAAAAACCCATCGACGAGTCAGCATTTTTGAGTCAATGTTTGTGATCTGCTGTGTTTTCCGTCAGACACCTGAACCGCATCAGCGTTCGGCTGTAGCTGCGTCTCGATGAGTCATTCAACAGGCTCCCCTCCTGGGTCCACAGGCTCCTGAGGGACATTTCGGACTCGTTAGCAGCTAAATGCACCATCGACGGCAACTTTGGGTGCGTTCTGTTTGCACGGGGAAAAAAAGGGCTCCCTGGATCTGTCAGATGATGATTCTCTAAAAGCGACAAAAGGAAGCAGCGAAACATCTTTTTATGAACTGAAACTTCATAAAAACGGCCAGAGAACTGGAATCCAAACAAAGCCAAAATCCCAACCCGCCCACTTGTGCGTTTTAATGTTTGTCTCAGTGATCTGAGTAAAAACGTTTGAACATCTCAGACGCCGCTGGACCAAATCTTTCCCACTAAAAATACAGTGGAGAGAAATCCAGTTCAAGCCCTCGAGTGCTTTATTGTTCTGACTTCAATCTCAACCCAGAGACCCGGCGGGGCCTCCGCGGGATTCGCCGCGTCCAGATGTGCGCAACATCTGTACACGTTTTTTTTCTCACATCCGCCTCGGGGAAGGTCTCCGCGCTCCACGTTGACGAACCCAGCTGAAGCAAACGAGACGGTGGGCGCAACTGGGTCATCGTCCCTGAGAGCTTTGACGGCTCCTTCAAAAGGAAGAAAAAGCATCTTTCGCTCTCGTTACTCGCCAGAAAAAGACGCCCCTCGTAACACGACCATCAAATCACTCTGGGAGGTCTGATGGCTCCTCTGAAAAGGGCATTTATTGTCTTCATCCTCGCAGATTACCGGACAGCGGCCCCTCAAAGCCGATCGGCCGATGAACCTCTGCAGTAGATCAAGTCAGGAATCAGGAAACATTTATTAGCCAAGTGGGGCTGAGATGCAAATGCTGCGACCCTTTAATGACGAACATGACGCAGGTGCAAGACGTTGCAAATGAAAGTCTATTGCTTTCGTACCCTTCTGAAGAATTGAATGCAACAGGTTCGCTGCTTGAATTTGGGGTTATTAAAGGTCATTGTGGGAAATTGAGGAAGAACTGAAGACTCTGTGTTGATACAGCTGATAAATACTACTACAATACGCCCACTACAGCACTTTTCAATTATGGAATCACGTATTATGACTTGCTAATATATATGATTTATGTTATTCGCCATGGAGTCAATTATCTTTAATGGTGGCTCATTCCCATGCAATGGATATTTTAAGCCACGCCAGCACCACTTTGTACCATTGAATGCATTTGTGCATCACTGGTTCCCGAAAATGAAGCCTTGGTGATTCGTCATGGTGAGGTGAAGATCTGTGCTTTTGAGTGAAATCTCAATTGGATGGATCCAATTTGGTCTGCACACTCCCGCTACAGAAATGATGTACAGTAACTTTTTCTCTCGCATCGTCAGTTGTCATTTTTAATGTGTGAAATACTTTTGGTTTTATGCAAAAAAAAAGTATGAATATTGTATATGTGAATATGTTACGCTGTTCTTTGAGATCACGTTTACCTCAGTTCACACAACTTACACACTATTGCACACATGTGTCTTATTTGCTCATTCTGTGTCAGACTCTTGGACACACAGCAAACGGCCTTTAAGAGAACGCAAGTGTTAAAGATATTCAGGCAGATCAAATCAATTATTCACGGGTGCCGGTGCTTAATCACAGTTATTTCCTCTGACAATAACAGGAAGGCCAGTGATGTAAGATCGTTTCATCCTGCTGTGACCCCCACAGGCCGAGTGGGAGCTCTGGAAAATGAACATTTCTACCCGTCCCCTCCCCGCCTATGTTTGACTCAGCGCCTGAAGCCTCCTGCCTGCACGAGACGCCAGCCGCCGCCGCCGCCGCCTTTTCATTAGCAATTATAGTGCTTTCTAAAACGAGCAGCTGAAAAAGGAGCCCGTGGTGCTGCCTCTCTCAGTGTGATACTATCGTTGCTGCTGCTCCTGCCGTCACAGCTACCAGCCGCTGACAGCTGAAATTCATGCCACACATGTGAATATGGATCAACCCCCCCCCACCCTCGGCCCCCCAGAGGTCACGTCTGAATCAGAGCCCCAGCAAGGGACTAAGATCAGATAAGGCTGACATTTGACCAAGAAGGAAGACATGCATCTTCCGCTGCGTGTTTACAGGCCTCAGCTAAGCTCTGCAGGACGAGTGGTCTCCTATTGTTTGTCCGCTTGCCCCGACGGCGCGAGCTTTGACTCATCTCGTTTCCTCTGCGCGGTGAAGCACGGCTCCCGTGCTCTAAAAGCAGGAAATGGTCAATCGAGGCTACTATTCCACATAACAAGTAACACCAGTCAGAATAAGCCCTGCATAATAAGTTATGCTCCCGATGAAGAGTATTTATAGTCACCTCCTGTGACTTGGAGGAGTCTAGGGAGCTGATAGCTTTACTTCACTTGGCACGGAGGACGCAGCATCAGGTTCCTCTGCAAAGCCACATTTCACCGAAGGCAGGGAAGGGATTAAAAATAAATATGTCATTCTTATCTTTATGATATTAATAAAGCTGCTTCGAGCCCTCTCGAACGCGATTTCCTAGCACATACATAATAGCAGGAGTGTGATGGAAATGCATGACTGTGCACGTGCACGGGGTAAGGGGGATGCAGAAATGTGTGTTTATGTGGCATGGTCTATAATTACACGTGCCACCTCAGCTCTGGGTAAACACTACCTGTCTGCACAAACAGGCGGAGCGCCGACTGCAATTCAGCGTAAAGACTTTGCGTTGCGTTGTTCTTGCGTGCTGTACGGTTCCAACAAGTGCAGAGACAGAACTGCTCGTGTTTGACTTGCACCTGTCTAATTAAAATATAAAAGTTATCCCCCACAACACTGAGTGGGTTTTCAGTAGCTGCAGCTTTATTCTCACAGGCGGAGAGCAAAGGAGAAGCGAGCGGCAACCGGGTGATGTTACGTAATAAAGATGGGAATAAACAAACCGCACTGCGAGGTGTCCCGTTTGTCGGGAAAACACGATGCTTAATTTGGGGACACGCGCACACCAGCAGCGTGATTCCACGCAGGAAACGAGCGCACCGTTCCACAAAACGACCGCGCGGAACCGCTTCTTTTTTATTTATTTTATTATTTATTTATCATTTGGAACCGCGCAAGCTCACATAGCTTTCAAATAACGAGCCGTCAAAAAAAAAAAAAAAAACAAGCTGTGCGGAATCCAAGTCGTGCACGAAAAACACCCGAATCTTCCCCCAAGTTTGAATACAAAATCTTCTTTTTAAAATAACCGCACAGGTTGCGAAGCTCCGAAAGCCTTACCTCGATCCAGAGAGAGCGGTTGGACCACTGTCGCCATGACTGCTGTTTACTGGAGACTGGAGAGACTACAGGGGCTGCAGCATCACACAGGGAGAGGGAGGGAGGGAGGGAGGGAGGGAGTGGTTGAGAGGGAATTAATCCACCTCCATATAAGACGTGGGTTCATTTTTATTGCTATTATTCTCTTAATATCTCTAAATAAATGCTCATCTAAATGAACGATGCAATAACCTCACACCTCCACTATGATAACAATGTAGGACCACTGTTCTCTCTTACTGACACGAATCAATAAACTGACCCCGGATTATAAGAATGAAAAGTCATGTTTCCCACAACATGTGGCTCCGTGGTTCCCAGGAGCCCCCCCGGTGGCCCCCGGTTAGCATGCTGTACTTAATCGACGTGCTGTAAGAGTGTAGGTGCCTATCTGCGCATCATCCATTCTTCCGCTGCGCTTCAGAGATCGGTGGATGGCACCAACGCTCGCCTTTAAGGTTTATGGGGACCCGGCGAGCCGTGTTATCTCCTCCCTGGGCTACACGGCCGATAGGGACTAAATGATGAACCTTTTTCGGAGGGGGGGGGGGGGGGGGGCTTAAGGATTAATCCTCGTGTTTATGTTCCACCAGCCGCTGACTCTCTTCATCTACTGCAGACGTGCGCGCCCGATGGGGCCTGCTGCTGTGGCGCGTATCTCGTACCTGGCCATTCATTGCACTCCACAGGGGGAGTGCTCAACAAAAACAAGCAAACCCTTGGTAATGACGGGGTAGAGGGGTGGTGGGGGTGCAGAAGCACAAGGAGCCAAACCACCGACCTCAGCATGACAAAAGGCGAGCTGAGTGAATACAAAAGTACACCTGAGGCAACGGCCGACACTTTGGCCTCCGTGTGCACATCTGTCCGGAGCAGAATCTCAACGTCACAGAGGCTGAAATCAGAATCTCATCCCTCCTGTTTGTGTTAAGACAAAAAAAGAAAACGCACTTCAGCCTCTTCCCACGGCAATTGCCATTCTCATCGATTTTCATCAATATTCTGTCATCCTGAATCTGCTTTTTGATTGGAACTGCTCCTAAAACAGGCGGCTGGTGATTTCCAGATGCATGCAGATGTGAAGTGGTGTGCTGGACGGACGGCTAGAGAGGGCGAGGGCTTAGAGAGCGCAGGGAAAGAGGCCACGGGGAGATTACAGGCTCCCATCCATATGTGCTGGAATACAGGCCTGCTTTTTCTTTTTTTTTTTTAAAGAGGTGGGATTACGCTGCAGCGCTCTTAAAGCCCTTTAACTGCGAGCGAATTGATTTCTGAACGGTCTCCATTCCCACGGAAGAAGGAGTGAGATGCTCATCTGATTCGAGCTCTGAATGCGCGTAGGAAAGTAATTCTATCAGTGCTCAAGAAGTAACTGAAAGAATGCTTCAAATATATGTTCAGTCCCCTTTCGATGCCACTATGATATCTGTGTGGTTTATGTGTAAGGGTTCAGCCAGAAGCTGGCTATTATGTCTCAAAACAGAAGGAAACAGCTAGCCTAGCTTAGCTTAGCCTAGCTCTCTCCGCGAGTATCATTCAATTCATACCAAAACACAAAATAAAGCCTAACTTTTTTTGTGGCCTTGTTTTCCTTGTAAATCCAGAGAAATTCCTCGTACACATTCTTTTTCCAATGAAGACCGTTGTGATGCTGCAGACCCGAAAGTGGGGTTTAATGCCTTGCTCACGGGCACACCGGGGTTTTCAAAACGGAGATGTTGACGCCCCCTTCAGGTAAACAGCTCACGTCCACTTTGTCAAATGGAAATAATGGAACACACAACATGGAAGTAGTGCAATTGCTGCAATTTGCTTGTTGCATCCAGCAGGTCGCGATTGATTTAATCTCATTTAACTTGAGAAGAAAGCTCTCTGGAGTTTAGAGTCACGCAGCCTGGAATGAGGACTCATTCATATTGAGCTGCAGCTCCTGTTACACATGTAAAATGCATAAAAGATTATCTTCACCTCCTGCCTGGACTGGCATTAAATAAGGGAATAAACGATAATGACTGTATCATTTGTACGTTCAATTTTGGGCGAATTCCCTCAGCTGTAATGTCTCAGGTATTCCGACCCGTGAATATGTTGACGGAAACCTTTCACAAGCCTCCGCGTCTAAAGCCCGTCCAAGATGTAAAACGGCAATCATCGTCTTCAAACACATTCTATTATGAATCCGTTCAGACGCTCTGCTCAGAGATGAATCATTTGTGGAATTTGAAACGGTTTTCTGAAGGGCAGCCGGCAGATTTCGGCTTCAAAAGAATCACGCAGATTACAGCGAATCAGAGAAGAGGACAAGATGGATGGAATTGGATGACAGTTTAGCTCTGATCGGGCTTCGCAGGCCAGCCCGGCGCTCTCTCTCTCTCTCTCTCTCTCTCTGTGCTCGTCCGGCGCCAGAGAGCATAACAATGTGATGTGCGTTCTGCCAAGAAGAACCTGCGCTCTTACAAAGAGAGTTATGAGGCTGAGGGGATTTAGAGAGACCTTTTGGCCGGACAAATGAGAGGACAAAGGGAGGCGTCTCTTCCCTGCAAACCTCTTGATTGTTACACATGAATTGTGCTTGTAATTGACATGCTGTGTGGAATGTGAGGAGATTTTGATCAATATCAGGTTATTAAGAAAACAGTTTCATTATGTCAATAAAGCAACGGGATAAGATGGATTCAAGAAGACCTTCATCCATAATTCAGGATCACTGTTTGATCACTGTTTGTTTACCCCGCAAACAGTTCCAGGTCGCTTCAGTTTCATACATTTGGAGCCAGTAGCTGCAAGGCCTTTGCCAAGGAGGAGGAGGAGGAGGGTGGGGGGCTTCATCAGAGGTGGGGGCGGGGGGTCCAAGAACCGCCCAATGGAAAAAACTGCTCTGATCATGCATGTATAAATAGACACAGATGAACTGAAATATCAGATGGATGAGTTACTCAAATACTGGGGCACCAGTGCGCAGGGGTCACGTCCAGGGGGAGAGGAGGGTCACGGGGGGGTCAGCTGGATTATGGGTATTTACCAGCGGCCTGGATGACGGCGGTGAAGAAAGGAGACGTGTATGCAACCCCATCCTCATGACTCAATTATGTTCAGACGTACCCTTAAAACCAGGCCTAATTAATATCACACTCTTTATTTCTACATTTTAATTTAGACATTTGTAATGCTTCGCACTTAAAAACAAAACGTTTATATTTAGGTGTGCAATGGGAAAGTGTGTCCAAACTTTGGAGTGGTACTGTGGTCACATTGTGCCACGTTGCAAATGGAATCCATCCAAAGTAAGTAAGCCTGCTGCCTCCTCGCCTCCTCTCTCCTCGCCTCCTCCGCTCTCGTTTCCCGTGGGCGGGACCGAGGCGCGAGGAAAGGAGGCGAGGAAAAAGGAGTCGAGGAACTGCAAAGTAGGCAACAACAAAAGTGGGTCAAAGCTCTCTACGAGCCACATGCAGTTCGTGGTTCAAAAGGAGTTTCTTCGGGAGGCTCCTTTCCCCCTGCGGGGCCCCCAGACTACAGGCGCGTGACCCCCCCGCACACGCAGCGGCACATGCAGCAACACATGGGACGCGAGAGGAAGTAGTTTTCTTTTAGTTTGCTTTTAGACAAACTCGCCTCCAAGCAGCTTCGCAGCGATGCACTCCCAAATAAAACACCTACTGCGCCCGAACCTCTGCGCCCCGGTGACGCTGCGCAGGAGCGTTTGCGCGGCGCGACAACGCGGCGCCGGACCCGCGGGACCGCGTGCGTCCTCCTCCTCCTCCTCCTCGTCCTCCGCGCGGCCCCGCAGGAGCTACGCATCGGACGCGGCGTACGGCCGAGCCTTCGCCTCGGCGAGGGACCACCCCGAGACCTTCTGGGGGGACGCGGCGCGCGACGTCGACTGGTTCGAGCCGTGGCGCAACACGTTGCGCGCGCGGGATCCGGCGTTTCCGAACTGGTAGGTTTTCAGTGCCGCGTGCGCCGAGGCGCTGAAGACCCGTTGCGTTCACAGCCGTCTGTCAATGCATATGGGGAGGGAGGGAGGGGGGTCAAGTAGGCCTTTAAATTAAAATTAAATAACACACGACCCTGAAGTACTAACATTTTAGTAACGTGCACAAACCCTGTTTGAACACCGCGAGGCGATTAATGATTAACCACCACATGAGCGGAGAAATGGACTCGTTTTGTTGATTCTATTTAAATAGAAATACACCGTGGAGAAACGTGTAATTCACCTGCCTGTGTTCACGTCGTATGGTGATTTTTGTGAGTTTTTTTTTGGGGGGGGGGGGGGGGGGGGGGTTCCCCCCTTCCTTCCCCTTGGGTTGACCCGAAAGGGAAGGGACCCCCTTTAGTTCATTGTTTCCCGGCGCCTGGTCCTCAAAAGGGGGAAAAGCTTTGTTATTGTCCCTCGCTTCATCCTCCCAATTCAAAAAAAATGAAAAAACACCGAAGCCAGTCCAGAGAAAACCGGAGGGCGCGTTTGCTACGAAGATCAGTTTAAAAAGGACAAAATGAGTAAATAATGAACATGATACATAAAGTCACATTTCTGTCACTTCCACTCAGCTGATCGAGGTGCAAGCTCTGACTTGTTATATTCATTATATAAGCAAGTTATTTATTTCATTAAGGCTACTTGGGTGAAAGAGCAGGCTTGAACTTTGACCTCATTACCACTGATCTGTCCCACGTAAAAGTGTATTTCTCCTTTACATGCAATAAAACAAATTACTTAACGTTTTAAATAAAAGGAAAGTGTCACTCCTCGACAACATGAAGGTATCATCAATAATGTTCACTTCAAATCCGCGCCGCTCCAATTTCAGACTTTTGAACATGATGCTTGATCGTGTTGCCGTCTTTCAGGTTTGTTGGGGGGAAGTTGAACATGTGCCACAACGCCGTGGATCGCCACGTGGAAAGCGGCCGCGGAGAGCAGCCCGCCGTCATCTACGACAGCCCAGTGACCGGGGTCAAACGGGTCATCTCTTTCAGGGAGCTTCAGGACCAGGTAATGACTACTCACCTGGTGTGTGACAAATGACGGACAGCGAGGCGCTTTGCGTGCGGGGATTCGCGTGAACACAGTTCTCCGCCCTCGCGTCGTCTCGACCCAGGTGTCCAGGTTGGCAGGCGTCCTGGTGAAGAACGGTGTCCGGAAGGGAGACCTGGTGGTCATCTACATGCCCATGGTGCCCGAGGCCATGTTCGCCATGCTGGCCTGCGCGCGGGTCGGCGCCCCTCACAGCCTCATCTTCGGCGGCTTCGCTTCCAAAGAGCTCTCCGTCCGCATCGATCACGCCAAGGTGGGAAAATGTCTAATATAGTTTGTAGGAGAGCTCGGGACTCAGCTGGGTTTCGTGTTAATGGGAGTTGATTTTGATCAAACACCCGGAGAACCTCTCAGCCTCTGATTGCTCGGCTGCCACTATTTTCCTAACGTCCCAACCTCCTCCATCCAAACCCTTATTACACTTTCCAGGGTTTTTGCCGATAACGGAGCATAATTGAATTTAAATGCAACGCACGTTGAGTTTCCCCGTGCAATGAAACATTGCACTTACCCGATCCTGGTGTTTCCCAGCCCAAGATGATCGTGACCGCCTCGTTTGGCATCGAGCCGGGCCGACAAGTGGCGTACATCCCTCTGGTGGAGAAAGCCTTGGAGATGAGCTCCCACAGGCCCTCCAAAGTCCTCATCTACAACCGGCCCAACATGGTAAGAGACACCAAGCCTCATAGCAGCCGGATGGACAGAAAGGGAACCTTTTTGTTGTTGTTTTTGCCTCCCGGGATGATTTAAATGTTAATGAAGTAAAAGTATCAGAGACTTTTAGAAATGTGGCGGATGTCAGCGGCTGTCAGAACGGGAGTCAGAGCAGAGTTTAAACATCTGGATAGAATACATGATGTCTTCCCCACTTATGGTGAACTGATTTGTATCGGGAGTTTGTATCGTTTGTGCTCTTTGTCCGTTTCTTTTAAGGAGAAAGCGTCAATGAGTCCGCAGCTGAGTCTGGACTGGGACGAGGAGATGGCCACAGCTCGTCCTCACGACTGTGTCCCCGTCCCCTCCAACCACCCGCTCTACGTCCTCTACACGTCCGGAACCACTGGAACGCCAAAGGTACGGAACCTTCAGGGTATTATTTGGTCTTTGACCCCCGGATGATATCAAATGGATAAATCAGCCTCGTGGCGCCGTTGTTGCCGTCTCGTCTTCTTATCTGTTTGAGACGATCTATATGATCGTAGACTTTGGGACTTGGGCTGACATTATTTCGCTAAAATATCTAAACGGCACCATTAACTAATTAAAGCAGGACAATGGAGTCATTGGAAAACCTAATTACCTGCAGTACGGCGGCGCTGAGCCGCTGTGTGCAGATTGATGTTAAACGCCCGTCTCTTCCTGCTACCTGTCACCCGTCTGATGTTGGGTGTGTGTGTTTTTTTTTTATCTCGTCCCCCCAGGGTGTTGTGCGAGACACTGCGGGCTATGCAGTGATGCTGAAATGGACCATGTCGAATATTTATGGACTCAGTCCCGGAGATGTAAGGCAATAAAGCGCCGCCTCGAGTCGGAAGCCTCATCTGAGGACAAATAGCTGGCGGCCAGAGAAGAGAGAGCGAGAGTTTGCTCTGTACTTGAATTAACATTTGGATCACATGCTGACTCAACAGTCAGACATATTTAAAATGTGTTTTCTCTCAATTCATTAGCTATTTGATTTGCATTTTAAGTGCATTTCAAGTGGGATGAAAACCATGTTATTAGAATTATTTCCACCTGTTAAGCAACACTTTTCTTTACACCTCTGGCAGGTTTGGTGGGCAGCCTCCGATCTCGGCTGGGTGGTCGGCCACTCGTACATCTGCTACGGTCCTCTGCTCCATGGTAACTCCACAATTCTCTACGAGGTACGTCCCCGTAGACGAGGGAAAGCGTGTTCTCATCTGGACACCGAGTCTGAAATAAAGTTTGATTAATTGAACAATTTTGCCCCCCAAAAAAGCTGCAAGCTGAATATATCCATGTTTGGTTCACTGCTCCAGTTTGTGTGAACTGTGTTTTACCCCGTCGCCGTGTTCCACTGCCGAGTCTATTTTAGTCTTTTTTTCCACCGTTCAATGTGACCCCGGCACGTGCACTTTATGCCCACAGACACGGGCGTTACAAAGACAATTCTGCTTTTATTTAACTGCTGTGCAGCAGAAGCAGTATTCTAAAATCGATCTCAATCGATGGAAACCGTTAAAACTTCATCGCACGGCCACTAAAAACACATTCGACCTCATTCAAGGTTTTGTATTGCTGTTTTAAAACGTTACCCAAACATGATGTGCAAGGTGACAACGGAATGCAATAGATGTATAAAACATACCCAAGCAAAAGCCACCGACTTCGCAGGCCTCTTGTTATGCGGGACGGCTATTAGCTGCAGCTACGAGGGGTGTGTGTGTCTGTGTGATCTTCCACCGTGCGTTTTTTAGGCGGGTTTCTCACTCGTTACATTAGAACTCAGTCTTTGACTGCAGCCAGGCGGCTTCTTTCTTCGGGCATTATGCCGCCGACGCTTCTGTCTTCCCTCAACACGCACGCACAAATATTTATTCAGAGCCAAAATGACACCCAGAACCACCCGCTGCTGTTTACTATTCTCAGTCGGGCTCGAACCGAATACCAGGATGACACGGACGAGGCTTCTGTAGAAGGCGTTCCGCCTGCAGGCTCCTCTTCTCCTGTGTCCTCACTGTGTGTTCTGATCCGTGGGTTCGAGCCCATCTGTCTGGAAGGCGGCCTTCTGAACAGGTGCCCTGTGCATGTTGTGGAAACGTGGCCGCGGCGTGCTTCGAGGTTCAGCGCGCTGCCGCGTGACGCGTGACGGGCTCGTCGGGCTCAAACAGCTGTCGGCGCGCTGACTGTGTTGCAGGGTAAGCCCGTCGGGACGCCGGACGCCGGGGCCTTCTTCCGCGTCCTGTCGGAACACGGGGCCTCCTCCATGTTCACGGCCCCCACCGCCATCCGCGCCATCCGCCAGCAGGACCCCCACTGTGCACTCGGGAGAAAACACCCGCTCTCCAGGTAGACGCCGACACTTCTACACTGAAGGGAATTAGCCAGAAACGAGGCCTAACTAACGGCATTGCCGCATTTGTAACAAAGTAAGATTAAGACGGGTGACACGTAAAAAGAAAAGAAAAAAATCTGGAAATGAATGGAAATTAAATCTGACCAATACTGATTTCATTATTGATCCAATTATCTTGAATTTATCCTTTTACTTTGTCATCTAAAATTGTTTTTTATTTAAATGTTTGTCTTGATTTGAAAACCAGTCTGTGCTGACCGTTTTAATCACGTGTTATAAGCTGTGCGTAAGACAGATCATGATTCCCTCTTTCGTATCTATTTTTTAGTTTTACAAGTCTGCATGTAAACGCATTAAGATCACATTGCGGTTCGCACTCGCCCGTTTTTGCTGAATAAAGCCTGAACACGCGGTACTCAGTGTAACAGGTGAAAATTAGCCGTTAGCTACGTTGTTTAGCTAACGTTACCTACGTTGTTTAGCTAACGTTAGCCCTTTCTCGTACTGATTTCAAAAAAGGATTTGTTGTCGCCACCGGTGTCAAATCATTAAACAGGACATTTATTACATAATGTTTGCAAACAGGAGACCGAATTGACACACGTGGTTTTCCCCTCCAGCGTCCACGTACACACTGAGAGGACGGTTCCTACACCAACAGGGCGGCTTTGTGCGCGTACACAGATGTCATTGTGCGAGGACCATCGCGGGCCTTTACCCCCGAGACGTGCGTCTGAGCATCACGAGACGCCGAGTGCTCGGCGGACCTCTTATCTCCGGCGTGACATCGGCCGGCCTGTGGCGTTGCGTCGGCGTGCGTGACATTGATCGATAGTCGGGGAGTGATATGCTGATCAAATGAGGAATCCGTGTTTGTCAGTCGTGCTTTGAGGAGCCTGTTAACCCCCGACTGTCTGCACCCGTGGGTGCTAATGGGGCTGGACGACAAACACCGTGTTGAATGTCAGTTATCCGCGCTACTCATCTGTCTGAAATGCAGCGATTACCAGGACGATTAATTGTGTGGCGCAGTGAAAATTGAACGCGGAAAGGGTTCTGGTGTCGATTGTGCCGCTGTCACACAATCACAAAGCTACAGTGAGTTCAGATGACCTGTGGCCTCCATGAGTGACGGAGTAACTCTGTCTCTGGCTCGACTGTCAGACAAAGACCTTGTTTCAACCACCGTCGGGCTGCTTGTGTTTCCACTTTATCTCTCGTAATGCGTCTTTTCCCCTCGGTTGTGGCACGCCGGTGAAAGATTACACTGTTTCCCTTCAGCGCTGAACGAAACACGCCACCATGACGTGACACCGAGGCAGCAAGACAGAGGAAGCAATGAAAAAGGATTTTGTTCTAACGCAGGCCTCTTAACTCAGGACGTGTGCATTCATTTGTATTGTTTACAAAGGGGTTTTCTGCTGAAATAAATGCGGTATTTTGAAATTGGCAATCTGAGAACAGATCTATCGCCTCATAGAACACACGGAGGGGCAAATAATGCCGCTTTTAGTTAAAAGTGTATTGGTGGGTTGTCCGAAAACTCCTTTTAGCTTCACTGTGAAGCTCAGGAAGAAACGCCCCGTCTGCGGTTTGTTGACACTGTGAGGTGTTTGCTCCCCGCGGGGGGGCCGGCTCCACTGTAATAACCCAGGACCCTTATCAGGGGGCTCAGTATTACTTGTCAGCAGTGATGTGAGAGAGATTGTGGAGGTTTGGTCGTGCAGCATTCATGCATACACCTGTTTATCAATTCATCAGGGCCGGAGAAGCTAATCATTTACGATGCCGCTTGTAACAGATTCAATGATTTGCACTGTAAGATGTAGTGGGAATCAGCCTGAGGCATGTTGGTGATTTGTGAACTTAAAACACGTGACTAAGTGCCGTCACGTGGATCCGCTTAACCGGCCGAGTGTTGCTTTCTGCTTTAATGGCCCGAGGTCACGCTGCGGAGATTAGGCCTTATCTTTACTAACTAGCACAGCTTTCATTGCTCAACACGTTCTCCCCAGCGTTACAGAGATGTGGAATATGTGCTCTCACTACTAACAGCCTCCGGTAGTTATTTTCATTGCACGCATAAATCAACATTACGATTTAACTTCTTTCCTGGGACTAATATTGTGATGAAATCATATTGAAATATGATTACACTATTACCTCATCTAAATGTACAATAAGCACATACTGGGGTAATAAGTTCCCCATCGGTGGCTTGGGATTGTGTTATTCTGTTATTTTTCAGACAATAGTGCGTGAAATAAATCGGGGAGACAGCAGGAGGAGAAACGCTGTGATTCGGTGCGGAGAGGCTGGCGTGACGACATTGTGACTGTACGTCTGATTGCGGCTGAAAAGCCATTCTGCCACCGCGCAGGGTAGCGAGCGATGAGCCGATGCCCCAAGCGACGGTTCGCGGGGTGAAAACGAAGCAATCAGCGGAGCATCTCTGGCTCCGCTGTGACCGGTTACTCGCAGGGGGGGGGGGGCTCCGAGTTTTGTGGAGAAATGATGGGGGGAGGGGAGGCCGAAGATGGAAGCTGCTGTCTTTCCAGGTCCCCTGAAGGTCACGGAGGGAGGGCCTCGTGAAGCATTGGGGGTAGCAGTTCCCAGATTCAGATGGGCTTTGCGGGGCTCTGGGAACACGTGACCATGTTACCACAAGAAGGTCCGAAAAACATTTACCAACCAAGAGATCAAAGATCACATTCGGCAGCTTTTCACAACGGATGTGACCCGGTTTCCATTGCTCCTCTTCGTGCGCTCCAAACAATAACTCAGAAGCTCACAAGCTGCACAGAGGATCAAGGTGATGTAATATGATGACATATAATCAGTAGACTTAAGACACCCAGACGTGGCCGAATCCATGAATCATCCGCTGAACACTGACTCCCCGAGCGCGTTGAAAGGCACCTCGGAGACACATTCTTATTCGCGTTTAGTGTGCGTTTCCTTTCATATGCAAAAGGCCTTTTGCAACCCGAAGACCCAGATGCATATTTATAGCGTAGAAGGTCCGACTCGACTATCAGAAAAATGAAAAGCGGCTTTGTGAATGAACTTCTTCGCGTCGATTGACAAGACGTCCTCCGGTGTCCTTGCAGGCTGCGCTCGTTGTTCCTGGCGGGCGAACGCTGTGACGTGGAGACGCTGGAGTGGGCGAAGAGCAGCTTCGGAGTTCCCGTCCTGGATCACTGGTGGCAGACTGGTAGGGACGGTTTCTGCTCTCTGATCCTCACTGAGGCCCTCCGTTGAAGTGTTTTGATATAAATATTACCTGATACCAGGAGTTCTGGTGGATGAAGTTCAAAATTGTTAAACACGTTTATTCCCTCTCAAACGCTGCGTGTGAGGCGATTAATCAGGTCCCTCCAGTAGGTTGAGAAGCTCTTTACCCTCCAAACTTTAGGGATTAAGTTCTTATGATGGAGAGGAAGCATTTTCAAAGTGTACTTTTATTAACCTGAACTGTGCGTGATGTTTTAATTTGATCTTTAAGACTCTTAAGCTCATCAGTAGGAGAAGACAATGAATCTGCCCTTTGCTGTGTTTCATTAGTCCGCTGACATTAACCTGACCTTGAGAAAAGATCTAACTCCAGGAAATCGCTATTCCCCTGAAAGCGCCGAGTCATTATGAAGAACGTTCTCTGATGGATCCCATTTGATGCTTCATTGTGAAGACGGGGGGGGGCGGATTGGACCCTTTATACCGGAGTCATTGTGACGTTAAAGAACCCCGTGTGTGATTTAATGACCTTCTCTCAGAGCTCATGGGCCCACAGAATGACGTAGTTTGCACTAGTTATTTGAACGGCAGTCGAAACCAGGCGGGAGGGAAGATGAATAACGGCTGAGATCCTCATTTGATCTGAAAATGAGACCCATGATTGGAAGTGATGGGAGGGAACTGCTCGATCGCAACTGAACAGGAGTCGGACCTTTGAGTATCATCGAGTTCACTGACGTTGAATCTGCTTTGCGCCCCGAAGTGATGTGGTTAGAAAAGAGATAACGGAACGGAAGCAATCAGAACCCAATCAATTTAATGTGTTTTTAACACCTGTAATTGCCCAAAAAGGGGAATATTAGCTAGATTTTAGATATTTTTTAATTTTTGTCTCCCATGAATATTTAGAAACGGGATGAGAACGGCAATCGTGGATTCGAGGATCGATGCTGCAGGCGACACACACACTGATCCGACCGGTCCGTCCGAGCGCCAAGGCAGTGCCAAGCGCTCGATATTGTAATATCGCAGAGATGTAATCGATCCCCTCTCGGGTTCGATAAGCTGACCCCGCCGTGCGCTGATCAGATACGCGTGTTAGGAATTAGCTCAGCTCGCTCGCTGAGATCGCGGCTCGGTGCCCGCGCGGTGACGTCGTCCCGCCTCGGATTGATTCTGACCAGACGGATGGACTCCGGCCCGAACAAAGCTGCTGATTCTGTTTACGGCAGCCGTTAACATTTCATCTTACTTGAACAAAGGGAGGTTTGTTCCTCACACACACGCACGCACACACCAAACCCCCGTCACACTGAGGCGATTCTAACCAAGTGCTGCATTGAGTTTGGAGGAAAACCTCTGGCACCCTCTTGGTTTCTGTCTCGATGTGCAAATCCCGTTGGATTTTTCACCCTCTGCTAAACTCAACCCCTGGCAGCTGCCGGCTGGCGCAGCGATCCAAACGCGCCCTCCGCTTTTTCACGCCAGATGGGGTCACCGCCCGTCACACTTGCTTTCCCTTTGTCCGCCCCGGGACAGTTTGTCCTCGAGCCTGCAAGTGAAAGAGAGTCCGGCACGCTAGACGTATTCACCGAGTCCCCCCTGGTCTATCAGAGTTTGTGTTAAAAACCAACATTTGCTGAATAATGCTAACGTTCACCTCGGCCTCTGGCAGACATGTTTACCCAGAACGTGTAAGACAAACACCGGGGACGTCCTGTTTTGATTCGTTCTCCCGACACAGCAAGTGTTTGCATTTCTGCAGGGAATTGTTACCATAAAAGTTGATACCAGCCTGGTGATTAAAGTGTCTCGCTAAGGCAACTTCACTACTTTGCAACCGCAAACCCACAACCAGAACTTTCCTTCTGGCTGCAGTGAGTTCTGTGGGCCCCCTGTCGCATCTTCATCATCATCATCACCATCATCTTCCCATCCGACAAAGTTGTTTAACGTTGGAGGCGCGTTTATTTCAAAAACGAAAGATGGATTCCTCCTTTTGAGAAACTCATTAAAGTAAAAACACCCAAAAGCAAAGTTTGTTTTTAACTTTTGGCTTTAAAGCTTTTCGCTTTTTTCTTGCTCGGATCTCCTTTTTTTTTGTTTTTGTCTCCCACACATTTGGCTTTCAATTATAAACACGGATCTCTGTCCGTCTACTCGTAGCTCACCGGAAGAAATAGATAGAAACCGAACAATATCAATCACCGGCCCGTAGATCTTTTTCGCTGCCTGCTTTCAGTCCTGTGATGTAATATTCAGCCTTGAGCTGAAATCGATGGTGAGAAGAGTCGCCGCGGGCAAAGAGACGAAGGGAAAGGTGAACAGAGCAGCACATTCATCAAGCAGATAAATCACTTCCGGGCCCAATTGAAAACAAATGTGTTTGACTCTTGATTAAAACCCGTTTGAACCGCTGTCCTCCACGACAGTATCGGTTCTTGACGTACAAGTTTATCCTCCAGGCGCCTCGGTGTGAATCTGTTGCATCATCATTTATTTATTGTGTGTCTGCGGCTCCCGGCTTAAAACGATGCATCATCTACTTCATTACCGTCTGACATCATCTCCCGACGCTGCAAACAGCTCATTAGGTAGCCGACGGCATCCGGCTGAAGATATTTAAGAGGAAAAAAAAAGGGCTCATGGTTTGTTTCTCGCCTTTTCCTCGCCCGTCTCCTCGCTGCGTATTTCACACAGAGAGCTGCTCTCGCTCTCCTCCCCACAGCTCCACATCAGGTCCCCGCCTGTGGAACTAATGAAGGGGTGGGGGGGGGGGGGTGTCAGCTGACGCGAGGCGGCGGCGTGACGTTCAGCGGGCGGGAGGTCACGCGCTTACGAATGGAAGCGGCGTTGCCACAGCGGCCGTCTGCAGATTTCATTATCCTCCTCCCGCATCTCGCTCCTTGGCCCTAATTACATTGTGCCGAGCTTCGGCGCCTCTTTCCACGCCGACTTGCACGCATGAATTAGCAGAGAAAATGTCATTCTGAAGCCTGATAATAATACGTGCGCTATTTTAAGAATCAAGTGCCATTGGCGGCGCGGGGGGGCGGTTGCAGGAGGGCGAGGATGGAGGTTGCTGATGTCACTGGTGTTGCCTGGCAACAAACGTGTGTTTCCAGTCGGCAGGTTTCGGCTGCCTCGCCAGCGAGCGGACGACGGACTCAGTCGGTAGAGCTTCAGGTGTCTCTCCGTCTCCCTCGGGCTGACAGCAGGTGACGTTGTGCACGGAATGGGACGCCCTCGACTCGGGCCAATCCGTTGTGGCGTTTGCCAGGTGCTGTCTGTCGGAGCCTCTGATCAAAGAGAGAAGCGTTTAACACACCGGCATCCGGCTCCCTGGCGACATGCAGAGAGTGTGTGTGTGTGTGTGTGTGTGTGTGAGAATTAAGTGCTCATCTCATTTTCCTCCGTTTCCGGTGGGAAACATCACCAGCCTTCGGTAGTGGGGGGGTTTTTTTTTTTCTGGTTTCCTTGTTTCCGGTCCAGTCGAGTTCTTGGCCAACCGGCCCTTCGGTGTCTGGTTGTCATCAAACTGAGAGCGCCATGTTTGTTTCCCCACTCACTCTCCTCCCAAGCCACAAACTAATAAACTCGGCTACTCGATAGCGCCAACGTATTGCCCCCCCCCCCCCCATTCATCACACTCGAGATGCCTCCCACTGGCCAGAAGATTGATTAGTTTGTGTGCAGGGGGAGCGAGACGGAGCGGACAAGGAAGGGGAAGACGGTGATGGGAGTAGACCAACACTGGTACCTCAGGAGTGTTTTTGTGTGTGCGTGTGCCAAAGACCCACAATGCAGCCACACAACCACACAACCACACAGCCTGTGTGTGTGTGTGATGTTTTCACTCTTCAATGCACTCACCTGTCTCAGCCGGTGCCGCCTGCCTTTCATATCCAGCACATTCAATCCGCTCGGCACAATGTGACCAGAATAGAAGCAGCGGAAGCATTTTCATCTGTTTCATTTCATCTCGAGCAGACGCGGTCCTGACAGATAACCAACCGCTGTGGATTATATTTTGGTGGGGCGGTTTTGGTTGAGCGTGTGAGTCCATCTGCTTTAAGTAATGAAACCGTCCGTTTTCCGTCTTTTCCTCTTACGCGTGAGGGGGAAGCGTTTAAGTGCAATCTAGTCGGATGGTTTTCACTAAGGTTGCCTCGATTTCACGCCTGGAAGACGTGCGGCCCGTTCGCTCCGTCCCCCTTGTAAAATGTCACGGTCCAATTAAATTGTCTTTTTTCATTTAGCTCCCTGAAAACAGGCTCTCACCCCGTGGGGGCCCGACTCACCGCCAGCGCTCCCCGGCTGCTGCTGGTTTTAAACATGCCCGGGCCGGTGGCTGTGGCGAGTCCTCCGGACGGCCGTATCGCGTCGCCAATATCGCCGACAACCTTCTTTTGGGGTCCGTGGCTAAAAGTGGAAGAAATTACAGAGAGTTTAAAAGATTCCTGCAGCTGTTGACTGTCTGTCATCAGTAAGTCATCGCTTTGCTCTCTGACCAGGAGGGCCGCGCTGGTCCCCCCCCCCCCCCCCCGCCTCCCCGTCCCCCCTAAAAAGGTTTTATCATCCCCGCTTAAAGGCGTCTCCGCAGAACCCGACGGGCTTAGAACACTGGAGAGGAGAGCTGACCTGCTGCTGATCAATGGGACAAACCCCGCTGCCGGGTCCAAAAATGAAAAAAGCCTTCCACCCCCCCCCCCCCCCCCTCTCTTCCTTTGATAAGATAACCCCCCCCCCCATCAACCAACAGCAGGGCGTGTGTCTTCCACACACATGAAAAACACGGGACGGAAAACGTCATCGAGGGAAGATGATCTAGTTCGCTTGTGAAAAAAGCTCGTGCTCGCGTTTGCATCTTGGTGCAAGTCATTTAGTGAAAGCTGTCCTCGTATTCCTGCGGCATGAGATGTGTAATGAGGTTGCTCCTCGAGGACTCTCCAGAGCAGCTGTCAATCACTGTATGTTAATGCTGCGCACAGAAGCAAAGCGTCCAACGTTAGAAGGTGTAACACTCGCATAAGGAAGCAGGAAACGATGTTGTGCTTTGACTGAGACCGCGTTGCTCGCCCTCGTTCATGTCTCTGCGTCTCTTTGTGTCTCCTTCAGAAACCGGCTCAGCCATCACCTCCTCGTGCATCGGTCTGGGCAACTCGCTCACGCCACCTGCAGGTCAGGCTGGCAAACCTGTGCCAGGCTACGATGGTAAGCGGGCGCGTCCCGGCTGCAGCGCACGAGCTGCTGAATTCATTTCACGCTTTCACTCTCTCTCTCTCTCTCTCTCTCCCCTCCACTAGTCAGAGTGATCGACGATGACATGCGGGAGGTGCAGCCGAGGACGCTGGGAAATATCGTGGTGAGGTGAGCCGAGTCCATGCGTTTGTGCCGCGTCGGGGCATCTCGTTCATTGACAGAACCCTCAGTGATCCGATTAAATCTCACTCATTTCCCTTAGTCAGCCGCCCCTCAGTCCCCGTGGTTTATCTTCTGTTCTGCTACATGTCAGTTATCGCTGTCCGCCGCCTCCGCGTCTCCGCTCCCGGTAAGTGGCGGTGTTGACTCGCAGCCAACACACGGGGGGGGGATTTCCAGGGAATTCGCATGTGTTCTGCGGCTCCGAGGGGCCGACCACAGGAGGAGCCGCCAAACAGACGGGAACAGCTGTGTTGCTGTATTTCCCTTTCTAGTAGCCAGGAAGTCTGTGACCACGGCTTCATAAAATCATAATCTAGGGTTAGCTCATTGGAATGTGTTATGGCTTCGAGGCATTGTGTGTTAAAGTTCAAGTGTATCGATGTATGTATATACAATTTAATTATTCAAATAATATGAAATGACGAGAAAATGTCGGCTGAAATCTTGCTTTTTGATGAAATTAAGTGTTTTGCATTCAGCATCATAAAGTTTTGGTGCGTTGCATCATTCTCCTCCTGAGAAACAAATCCACGCAGAGGCCCGCTTCGTGTTTTCGAAATGGGATCATCTCGGTCAAGAAGAGGGATTACTGTCAATCTTTGGACAAACAAAGACGGAGCAACTGAGCTCTCCAGTGCGCTGTGTGTGTGTGTGTGTGTGTGTGTGTGTGTGTGTGTCTGCACTGGTATCCATTGCTTTATTGGGTCAAATCTGATAGACTGCTCTTAATGCTCATTGAGTGTTGGGTTAACATTTTTAATACCATTTCTCCCTCAGACCACCGTTGCCACCTGGTGCCGCGCTGTCGCTGTGGCAGAACCGTGATCTGTTCAAGGAGCTCTACTTCACAAAGTTCCCCGTGAGACATGCCGCCACCTCCGTTCCGCTGCGCAGCTGTGTGATTTCAAAATAAAAGCAATTGTTTTGGTTCCAACCCGTGTGAATGTACGAGGGGGCCCTCTGGTGGCAGAACCCTTCGTTGCCACACAGTGAACGCTCTCTGATTGGACTCCTTCCTCTCTAATACTCACCACCAGGGTTACTATGACACCATGGACGCGGGTTTCGTGGACGAGGAGGGTTTCCTTTACATCATGTCCCGGTCCGATGATGTCATCAACGTGGCGGGCCACAGGCTGTCGGCTGGAGCGTTGGAAGAGGTAAGAGGAGGACGACAGAGCAGATTTCGCCGGCCCCTCTCCATGGCGTTGTGATGCATGTATGCGTCATGTGTGTGCATGTGTGTGTGTGTGCGCGTGTTTTGCAGTCAGTAATGCAGCACCCTGCAATCGGAGACTGTGCTGTGGTTGGTCTAGAGGACGCGCTGAAGGGTGTTGTTCCCTTGGCTCTGTGCGTGCTCAAGAACGGTGAGACATGGCAGACGCGCGGTGCAGCGTTAACGCAAGGGTTGTAAAACATCTGCATGGGTGCTACACATCCTTATTTATTTTATTTATTTTTAACATGTGCTCGTTCCCGTTCGTTTTTCCTCAGGCGTGCAGAAAAAGCAGGAGGACATCACGAAGGAGCTGGTGAAGCTCGTGAGGGACACCATCGGGCCGGTGGCCGCCTTCAGAAAAGTGCTTTTTGTGCAAGCGCTGCCGAAAACGCGCTCCGGCAAGATCCCTCGCTCCTCTTTGGCGAACCTCGTCAACGGCAAGCCGTACAAGGTACGACTCGCTGTGAGGGAGGGGACGCGAGTAGGGGCGGAGCCTCAGCTCTGTGTGTAGAGATACAGATGTTTGTTTAGTGAGCCACTACTACAGTCCCGTAAAATGGGAACGAGACCCACGAAACACGACCTCCTCTGACCTTTCTGCTATTTGAATATACTTGAGTGACTCCTCCAAGCAACCTTTTACTTTTCACTGACGTACTCGACATTTTTAAACTGTTTCACATTGTGAATTTCTTTTTAAATATAATTACTTTTTGTTTTTTTGACATCCTCTTTGACAACTTTTCTACTATTTTCCACAGCTTTATGACCTTTGACCTTTTTAAAAGCTTTTTATACGATCCTTTTTTTACTTTTTCCCAATATGCTGCGCTTTCCTGACATGCTTTGTTTTTTATAATGAAACAGTTTATTTGATCAGCTTTCTGTTGGTTCTGATTTGAACGGAACGATTATTTCTCCTTTCAGATCAGTCCAACCATCGAGGACCCAGAAGTGTTCAAAGACATTGAGACGCACGCGGAAAAAGCGCTGCGATATCGTGAAGATTGAGTCGACCTGTCGGATGATGAAGAAAGCCCGATCGATTCTTGCAAAACAAACTGAACCAAACCGATGGGAATTCAAAGACGTCCGTCTCCAGGAAGCAGTGCTTCCATTTTTTTAAAAGAATGACATCACTACCTGCGTGTAATCTGAATGATTTCAAACTGTTTTTATTACCAATGAGCAGAGCCACACACATTTTTATTGAATGACAAATAATTAAGACAATTCACTGACATTTTTTTTTATTGACAATGAAAATGTGCTTGCTCACCATCATTTACAAGTAATAAATAAAAATAAAAAAATGGGCACAAGTTAAAACAATTCCTTACTCGTGCAAGTCGAAGATGTAAAAACCGATGAAAAGCGCTGTACGAGTCGTCGATCAGAAAGAACTAAAAGACAGGTGACGGGGGGCCGAACAGCAGGTTACCCTGGAAACTCCGACAAACAAAGAGTTAACAGTAACACCAAATCACAGCAAGCAAAGGTCACCTCACTCCAACGCGGCCGCGCACACTCATCGCAGGTGGAGTCTCTCCTGTTAACAGGGGGGGGGGGCAGAAGGCCAGCGTGGCTAAGTGTGTGTCCTTTTGTGTTATTTATTGTATCGCCTGACAAAAACATACAGTACAACAATTGACGGGTTCTACGAATGTCGTCCTGCTTTTTTTTTTCTTTTTTTTTGTTCTCTGAAAAGAAGTTTTGGAAAACCAAATCTCTGGTGTTTGGCTACTAAACGGTCCGTTGGGTTGATGCGGTCGTGTCAAAGTGCTTGTTATGTGTCCCCCAGTGCGTTAACACGTCCTCGTAAAAACGCTGCTTTCATGACAGCGCGTCCATGAGAAAGGAGGATGAGGATGTTTGTGTTTTTCCTACATCAGGTCTCCTCCTCTCACCGGTTTATCATCACAAGCACGATGCAAAAATAAACCCATATGTACAAAATGATCCAGAGATGCTGGGCTGAGATGGAGACGGGTTAAAGAGCAGCATATATATTCATCTATGGTCCACTAAATGAGGTGGAGGAACGTTGTTTTTTGTTTTTTTTTGCACAAACTCTGAATATATTTTTTTGTACATAGATCAGATGTGTGTATATATTAAAAAATGGCATACTTATTTACAGATAACCTACACATCTCCTGTAGAAGAAATAGACAGTACGTTATGCTTCGACAAGTTACTGTACATGTAAAAGGTAAAAACGGTGACAACAGGGCAGCCCGCGGGACAGTTTAGCACCGGCATCTGGTGCCCACATTATAAGGGAGGAGGAGGAGGAGGAGGAGGAAGGTCAGAGAGGAGAGCAGGGCTTCTTGGCAGTGCGTGTCATCCGAATGGTACGTTCCCTCGGCCTGTGCAGCCCCTCCACCAGTTCATCTTCCATCAGAACGGAACCTGCGGGGAGGCACAGCGAGCCGTTTACACCGAGGTACCGTTTAGCTGATATGAGAACGTGTGCTTGGTGTGGTCGCTACCTTTTTATGGGCTGATCTTCAAATACATTCTATTTGCAACTTTTGTTAATGTAAAAAGAGTTCAGATCGGACAGCAATGGGAGGAAAAAAATACTTTGACGAGCTTGAGTCTTTGCAAAAGGGTGAACTTCTTTCACTGAGCTATTATTCAATAAGTCATATTCGCTGTCCAAGGTGCTAAAGGTCATGATGTCATGTGTCTGATGTAGCATCCGTAGCATGTGGAATACAAACAGAAGTCATGGTAGTGTTTTGAAAAACTAAAACTAAAGAGTTAGCATGTAGATTTAGCATTTCTGCTAACGATTCCACTGCAGATTAAACTGTTAACTGTCGCCCGTCGTTGATCTGAAGCAGATTTCTGACCCGCCGTTTTTTGGACAGGCATTAAAGAGGACACGTCGGTGTGATAAAGTGTCCCGCTGTCGTCTCCTACCACCTCGTCACGGCTTCTTGGCCACAAGAAAAAAAAAAAAAAAAAAAAAAACACGGCTTGGACACGCCAAGTCGTTTGAAACCCAAAACAAAAAGGTCTGTCTCAGTGGTTTCTGAGGGGAGCTGTGTGTTGATCAGAGTGTCGTGTTACATACAGCGTACAGTTTAAGGTGCCTCTCTTCCTCCCATCAGCAGGAGTAGGTTCTCACCGTGGAGTTGTCCAGCCGCTGTCCCGCAGAGGATCCGACTGCGTGGAGACAAAAGGAGACGGGGCCTTTGAGTCTAAATACCAAAGTTCCTCCTCGTCAGGGAGGGGGGGGGAGGAGGGGGGGTGAAGGGCAAAACTCAAAACACGAGATTAGACGTCCTCAAGGGGTACGAGTGCGATCGCAAAGCGAAGCTCTCCTCTCACGACGGAGGCCACTTGCATCGCCCTCAGGAGAGAAAGCCACGCATCACACGCTCAGAGGACGTCTCCACGCCGGGGACGTCGCGGGACCAGGCGGGACAGAAGAAGACAGGGACGACCGTTCAGTGTCACTGGGACACCTCGTTAGAGGGGAACACTGGCCAGAATCAGAGCACCGGGATGATTGACAGCTCGGGGGGGCTTAATGTGGGGCGACACTAATGCACTGTGCATCCCTTTAAACGATCATTTATTACAATTACAACTTGGGTCTTTGAGCTGTATTCTCATGTTGTCACTCGCAACGTTGAAGTTAATTGCTGAGACTTCTTGTGTTTTCTTTCCAATATATTTGATGACTTTGTTCTCCCAGATCTGAACAATGACTTTTGGTTCTTTGTAGTCAGAACAAATCGAAATAACAGACACAAACAGAAGAACCAAGTTGTAATAACCCGCAATGATCCTTTAAGGAAAGCCCCTTTCAGCCAGTGTTCCTGTTTAACAGCAGAGGGATGAGACACAAACTGTCCGCGTGGGTCATTGACACATTGAGGACACTGTCGACTATGTACACCTCGTCACGCAGCAGCGCCCACTCCAGCCGCCGCTTTGTTTTGCCGCTCAACGCGAAGGCCTATTTGCGTCTTTATTGCCCAAGCGGCGTCGCCCACCACATCCATTTTCAGGGGTTTTATTTGCAGCCAAAAATTCCAGTTACATAAGCAAAACATATCTTTTTACTTACAAACCTTTTCATTTTTCATTGCATTGTGAGTAATCTTGGTAGATAAAGACACAAATATACGGTAACTTCAAGGGTTACAGCAGCGAGGACGGTTTTGCAACTTTACGAAAAAAACGAGACCCTTTGAGTTTATATCAGAGAATCAGGAGAGAGAGAGAGAGAGAGAGGGAGGAGGGGCGAGGGACCACAGAGAGGAGAGGAGAGAGACCGTGTGAAGAGGAGGGATTGTATGCAGAAGGGGGGGGTGGGGGGCCGCAGCCCTTAGCGGGACATAGCTGACCTTGAAACCAATCCAAATACATGTCGTCAGGACTGTCGTCCAGCGCCTCATAGAGGACTGAGGACGGCGGAGAGAACAAGAGACATGGTCACACAACACGGCAAAAGGGGGGCGGCGACAAGGCTGGGGTCCAACTTTTGTGCCCCCCCCCCCCTCCCCTCCCCTCCCCTGTTGAGAGCCACGGATAGAAATAAGAACCGGTGGATGAGCGGCGAGGGGGGGGGGGGGGGGACTCACCCTCGGGGGGCAACCTGCGGGAGTGGCCCGACGTGGTGGTGAGGCGGAATCCGGCGGGGAGCGTCTCGGCTGAGCCGGGCATCATACTTATACCGTGAACGTCCCGAGGCGGGAACTGCCTCCTCCACGACGGCCCCCGGAAGTCTTTGTCGTCGCACTGACGGAAAACGTTATCCAAGCATTGATATAAAAACGGTGGTTTGTGCAGACTTTCCAACCACGGAAAGATGCCTCGTGCATTTAATTCTCCCCGGTATGGGAAAATTAAATACACAGTTTATGCTTCCACAGCGTCATTTAACCACAATTAAAGATCTTTGAAAGTTATCTCCGACGTGAGCTAATTAACCATAACAATCCTGAATATAAATGGGTCGCGTAAGAGTGTGTTATTGTCACGGGTCTGAGCTTTGTGTGTCACCACATCGACGCTGGATAATAGAGGATCTCACCTCATCCAGCCTCCTGTCGGTGCCCAGCGCCAGCATGTTGTTGTACTCTCGCTCCAGAATCTGACGTGCCTGAAGGAGGAAAAAAAAGACAAACAAAAGAAAAACACGATTTCCACAAAGGCGGCTATTTTTAGCAGAGCGGCAGCTTGACGCCTTGCGTCACTCGCGTATCCATTTTTACTTTTACAGACGGGGCGAGGGACGCACAGGACGACCTGCCAGAGTGACAGCTGGCAAATCTGCCTGTTCTGACCTGGGCCGGCTTTTTCCGTTTGAAAGGCGCCTGGACCGCTACCTGAGTGTTTTGGTTGGGGATCTGGAGGAGCAGCGCCAGGCTGCTGTAGTCAAAGTTGTCGTCCAAGGCGACCAGAGCCCCGTGCACGCCGCTCTCCAGCAGGATGTTGGCGTAGTCCCTCAGGCCGATGCTCTGCACCCAGCGGATGACCCGCTCGTTACTCCACACCAGAACGTCTGCGCGCACACACCGACAGAAGTCCCGCCTTAAGACCTTCGTCCCGTTTTCATTCATTTGACAGCGTTGCTCGCTGTGCTCTGGTTGGCGTCCGGTGCACTTGCCTCTCATCTCGTGCTGGCTGTGCTCTCTGCGTCTCTCCAGCTCCTTCCTGTCGTAGTTGAGCTTCTTCAGACCCATGATCCCGTACTGTAAACTTGTTCTGGGGTTGGGGGAAAAAAAAAGCATACGTGCATGTTGTCATGTGACACAAAAGACATTCCCTTCACTGGTGACGCGGGTAAAAGAAGTCCGGTACCTGTGAAAGCTGTCCACCATTTTGAGGTGCACCCTCAGGTCCTTCTTGGTGAGGTGGTCCAGCATGCGCGCGTCCACCAGGCACTCCATGAAGTAGCTGCGGTACTGAGGTAGTCCTAGACTGGGCAGCCACTCGTTCCCTATCCACTCGTGGTTCATGTCGCCATAAGCTAGGGTCTGGTGGAAAAGACGGGACGATTGAGCATTCAGAACCTCACAGGAGCAACCGAGGCTTTTACGTGTGAATATTGGCTGTACGTCATCGACAAAAGGAAGAAGGGACAGCAGGGGGTTTCCTACCTGCGCCCAGCTGCCCTCCTCGGAGTCGGACTTCTGATCGAAAGAAGGAAAAGAGAGAAGATGAACCTTTATTGAGTACCTTCGTTCCTAAGACACATAGATGAGAAATCCGCTTCGTGACCACAAACACTCGCCCCCGCACCTTAAAAGCAGCCTGACCAATGACGTGGAAGTTAATCCCACCACACATCACAT